GCAACTTCAATGAATAACATAACATAACCCTTGACCCATTAGGGTCATGGAGGTGTATTGATGGAAGCACTAGCACATAAAACCTGCCAGCTTTCTCTGACTTCCCCTTGATTAATAAGTGTATGATAATTTAGTCCTGTCCATTTTTTGATATTGTCATGCCAGGTTCTTCTTTAACTAAATAAGTGTTCTTTGAAGTACAGACTTTGCAATCGAATCATGTGCCCAAACCAAGCTAGATTGCCACGTTTAACCACTGCGAAGTGAGGCTCCTGATGTCCGCAAATTTGTATATTTTGCTCCTACATATTTATTAGTTTTGTGTTCTAAATAACTAAACTAAATAACTTCAATAAATGTATGTTTTTCAAACGTCTTAGGCGACCCCTGTGAAAGGATCGTTCGACCCCCCCACCCCCCAAAAGGTTTGCGACTAGCAGGTTGAGAACCGCTGTTCTAAAGCATGTGCATTCATCACCTGACACCCCTGTGTGGGTTCCGGGGCCCCATTGTGGGGGAAAACAAGAATAGACCCACTGCCTCCCCAAAAGCATGTCGTAAGAGTCGACTAATTGGGGAGCTTCCTTTGAAGTCGAGGTGCATCTGCCGGAGAGGCAAGGAACCAACAGTCTGTATTCAAGAGAATGAGATCTGTAAAACTGATGCACACGCAACACTCAGGTTCTGGAGCAGGACTGCAGTTCAGTAGTGGATAAGCAACCAGAACTTTCCACCAGAGTGTACAGATGGTGCACGCGAAAAAGAAGAAGAAGATCACCTGACAGCAAAAGTCCAACTCCTGGCCTTCTCATGTCAGAACTGTTTAAACCAACAGGAGAAGGGGCAACAGCAAATATCAGGTGCCGTAAAATCAGATGGATCCTCAAGTAGGTTCACAGTCTACCCTAGCAAAACCAAACCACACAACGCTGAAAACATATGTCAATAAAAAGATAAATTTACTAAGAATAATGAATGAATTAATATTTACAAGCAAGACACAAAATTTCATTTATTAACTCATTAAATGTGTGATTATATTTACATACATAATAATTACAGAAACTATTAAAACTATACAGCCATCTCTGCAACTACACAGGTTTCAACACAGTAAGCAAGCATCAGCATTTTATCGAAGCCATGATATTCCAAAAATATCAATTAATTAGGTGCCATCTCCACAAGGAAGGTTGGCTGCAAGGGATCTCTAGCACTCTCTGTCTCTCCTTCTGGCTGTACACTCTCTAACCACTGTTTGTTTCACTCTTGATGCTGTCCTTCCATCACCCCTTGCCCTTTCCACACAAACAGTTTTGGTAAGATTGTTATGTCTTTTAATGAGGCTAAAATATTTCCTTTGTCTCTGCTTTATTTGTTTCAGCAATTCTCCTTTCATTCCATTTCTTCAGAGCATCTGTATTTGAATGTTGCGTTTCCATGAAATGGGACCTTTTCTTCAGGATATTCAAATATCCACAGACCCAATTCAGTTTTCTAGTTTTGTGCTCTTCCCCCCTCCCCTCCCCCCCCCCCACATAGTAATGATTCAAACATTAAGCTACCAGTGCCAAACATGGACACTATCTAAAGCCAAGCTATGCAAAATCACCACCTGCGAGATGAGATACCCGAGAACAGCAGCCAACCTAAGCATCCGAGATCGAGTGAATAATGATATTATCAGACAAATTGTGGAAATGACACCTTCTAATAGATTTTTTGAGAAACAGCAGATCAAGTGGTTTGGCCATCTCGCAGAATGCAGCAAGATCAAATACCATCACACGCACTACATCGCAGAAGATCAGCTACAAGAGCAAGAGGATGGCCATGGAGAATTTGGATCGACAACATTAAAGATACTCAATGCCTTCACGGCATGACAATAACCAGTGGGACCCAGTGTGCACTAGATTGCAAATGATACCTCCCCACAACGCTTAAAGGCAGAAGTGGTTTGATGATGATGATGATGATGATAGTAATGATTATTAAACATACCACCTGACATTTCTAATTTTGTAATGTGTTGTGAGGTGTCAATAATTCTTATGTCTGATGAAAGCTGGTTGCAGGAGTGAGCAGACAAGATCAAATCAGGAATGAGGTCACAAGAGAAAAGGTTGGCATAAAAGCAATTCTAAATAACATACACAAGGACAGCAAATCAAATGGTTTGACCACTTATAGAGAGGGCCTTGTGACCCTAGACCATACAAGGAAAACATCAACAATGGAGAAGGATGAACGAACAAACTTTATTTTTAAAGGGTCACAAATCAGGCATGCAGACCTATCTTACATTCGGCCCTTCCAAACACACATCTTTCATACAGCAGTTGTATTTTATCAATAAACATGTTAAATTCAGTTGATAATATGCATATTGCGAATATTAAGAAAAAACACAAAAGCATGGGTGGTAAAATGCATGCACACACTAGCGTACACACTCAAACACACACCCACCCACTCACTTAAACATGCATTTATACACACCCACATACATTCACACACACACATAAACACACACCCATTCACCCACATACATACCTACCTACACACACAATCCACACATACAGATACACACACATACGTGCACAGACACAAACACAGATACACACAGACATACACACACAGACAGGCAAACCCCCAGACACACACACGCAGATACACACCCTCGGACACATACACATGCAAACACAGATGCAGACACACATGCACACTTGCAGCCACACAAACACACACACAATCAAAGACACACACACGCTGATGCTAGATAGATAGACAGACAGACAGACAGACAGACAGACAGACAGAGAGATAGATAGATAGATAGATAGATAGATAGATAGATAGATAGATAGATAGATAGATAGATAGATAGATAGATAGATAGATAGATAGATAGATAGATAGATAGATAGATAGATAGATAGATAGATAGATAGATAGATAGATAGATAGATCTTTATTTTCAAAGGGTCACAAATTAGGCACGCAGGCCAATCAAATTTCACCCCTCCCAAACACCAATCTTTCACACAGCAGTTGTATTTTATCAATAAAGCATGTTATGTACTCTGTGATGCAGAGTACAAGGCAGACCAAGAATAAGATGGAAAGATAACACAAGAGAAACTACAACAGCATAATTTGGCTATGGACAAGGATGCCAAAAGAGCAAAAAAAAACAGAACCTTACAACTCCCTCAACACCTGAACAGGTAAAAGAGGAAGTGAAGAAGAAGCAGCAGAAGATCTATCTGTCATCAACTCTTTTAGCTGCAAACAATATGACATGCGATTAACTCTTCTGTGAATCCCATCCAACATGTGTTCTCATATTTGCTACATTTAGCCAAAGGATACAGAAAAAGACTGGTTTCCCTGTGCTCTCAAGATTGTTCAGTGTTTATTTACATCTCTGGACATCTTATGTAAAACTTTCTGGTCCTGAAAGTGTTAAACACTGCACAGTGTAGGTAAACAGAAAACTTTCATGACTTACTCTTTCTGAATAAACATTGCACAATGTCTGTGAGTCAACAGTTTATTGTTCCTGGCTTAGTTGAGTTGAACTAAGTCAAGAATTGACATCATGGCACTCGGGACATTCCCATGTGTACTCCGTCCTCATCTTCAGCAGCCAGTGCAGAATTCCAATACTGATGGTACCGGTCACAATCTGGTTGTATGTTCTTCCTGGCTTATTGTACCCCAACGACATCATCACAAATTGCTCATATACCATAAAAGTACAAGGTTAAAGTCGAGAGGATCAACTTTACTGCACTGGGTTTTATCTCATATGGCTCAATCTCCTTCCACAGAATGGCTAGAAGCCTGCCAAGAGCACTGCACAAAGTTTAAACTCCATAGCTCCGGGGAAATTGCACTTGTGAACTGACTGATGCAACTGTGAAATGAACACATGAGATTCAGAGTGCAATGCAAATGGCTTGACCACTTCACCACGGAAACCCCCTCACCATATCTCACACATACACCAAATCTCATATATATGACCTCATGCAGATACCAAATCTCTACAACTCACTCACATAGATACCAAATGCCATATACATTACCTTAGGCATCCATAAAATCTCACATACATTACTTCAAACAGATAATAAACATCACAAACTATACCTCATGCAGATACCAAATATACATACATTACCCACACAGATGGCAACTCTTCACACAGTACCCCACAAAGATACTAAAATTCATATAATATGCCATAAACAGATGCAAAATCTCATATACTATACCTCCCACAGATGCCATATGTGTATTCTATAACACACAAAATATACAAATTGCAGGAAATAATCTCACATAGATGCAAAAACTCATTTAGTCTACCTCACAGACACACAATCTTGTATAACATCTACCTCAAAAATACCTCTTTGCTTTGCTTTTATATGTTGCTTCTCCACAAATTTCAACAGACCTATTTTAGACTAATTTTGGTACTTTATCTGAAGGACGCTTGTGCGCGCGTGCATGCACACATACACACACACAAAAGAGTTTTCAATCTATTTTGCAAAGAGTTGAACTGAGTTCAGAATCAAAATCAGGGCACTCCCATAAGCGCTCTGTCTCCATAATCAGCAGCCAGGGCTGTAGCAATACTAAGAGTACCAGTTCCAGTCTAATTATATGCCCGTCTTGCCTGTCCTCAGCCTGCTGAGTGTCTGCCCGATCCTCTGGTCTCACAGTTTTATCAATACTTCAAGCCATACAGAATTGAAAAAAAAAAAACAGAATTATATCTAAAAGAATTTTTTAAACAATGTCTAACATTTTCCCTGAATTACAGGCACATTCAAAAAATTAAAAAAAAATTTGACAGGAAACAATAAAACAAACTGCTTAATAAAGGGCTCATTTGTGTTTGCATAGCAATAAAGAAATGAATACATTAATAGACAGTTGGCAATTCTGTTTATGCATCAAGACTTGAATCTTGCAACTGTCACCTAGGGATCCTCAATCGTGCCCTCAGCAATGTTTGTCATATGAGGAAATGGTACCTAAGAGGGGGGAAAAAAACAAAGTGAGGAAAAATACAAGGTACCAAATTTTTGTAATTGGTAACTTTACACATTTTGAGAAGAATGAAAGGAATACCATGAAAACAAACATGGCAATCCTCTTCCAGATGGATAAAAGTCGTAAGCTGATTTAATATATATAAGACAGTCAGTGCTTTTTTAGACAAGTTATAAAAAAGAACAGACTCGAAAATTGAATAATGACTAGCAAGACTGATAGAAAGAGAGCAAGGTAAAGGCAACAAGATAAACACCTGGCTGGTTTCCCCACGGGGTATGGGGTGAGATAAGAACACTGACCTGATCCATGATTCTGATGCTTGTGTGAGATGGCAAAACATGATAGCATATGTTTATCGGCACAGCATATGATGACAACAATCAACATGGGAGCTGTGGTAATGCAGTGGCTAGCATACTCGGCAGTTGGCCTGATAGTCAGGTCATATCCTCCTCGAGGCAGAGATTGTTCAGGCCTCATAAGAACCTTTTAGTCACACTCCCTCTAATCCATGTTTCAAAGAAATGGATGTCTGGAAATTACAGCTGTGCAAATTTTTCAGAGAAATGTAAATTATAACCAAAACTATGATTTAAAGAAAGGAATAAATGGAAATTGCAGCCGAAGATAATTTTTCAATAAAAGGGATAAATAAGTTACAACAAAATGGACAAACTATTTTAAGCTGGCAACTCAGCATTATCAATATGTGTTTGGTGAAATAGGACTTTTTTATATCAATGTATTCCAACACCAGGACCAGGACAAGGCTGTGCTATCAGTACCAAGCATTACCAAAGGCTTACGTTACCTATGTAAAATTAACAAATGCAACATGAGATACCAGAAGACAGCCGCCCAACTTAACCATTTGAGACAAAAGTGAGAAATGATATTATCAGACACAATGTGGCAACAACATCACGCATTAAACTCATAAAGAAACAGAAGATCAAATGGTCTGCTCATCTGGTTAGAATGCAGCCAAAAGAACTACCAACACAGGTGCTACACATGAAAAGATATGAAAGCATGATGCACCCTAGGAGATATGGACTGATAACACTGAAGACGATCTATATCAGTGGCTCTCAACCTTCCTAATGCCATGACCCTTTAATACAGTTCCCTCATGTTGTAGCGACCCCCCATACAATTATTTCTGTCATAACTTTAATGAATTTGTGTTTTCTTTTATGGTCTTAGGCGACCCCTGTGAAAGGGTAGTTTGACCCCAAAAATGGTCGTGACCCATAGGTTGAGAACCGCTGTTCAACACTGACAAGGAATGACAACAGTCATTGTTCCCATCAAGCAATGAATTACTAACTGTCTCTCCCCTCCTCCCTCGACTCTTAACAGCAAATGTGGAAACTAATGATGATGATTATAACCAGACACTGACAGCAAAGGAATTAATGAAAAATAGCCACATAAATCAAATGCCTACAGAGGGTGCCTCATCTAACAAGAAGATACATAAATATGACAGGAAAGAAGATGGTGCAATTCTAGTATTTAATTTCACAAATTGATAGCAAGTAAAATAATCTGCTCAGCTATGATGATAACTAACTTCCCTGCTGAGACAATGGTCTGCATTCATCTTCTATTGCTTCCACATTCACCTTAAAAGGGTGATTGGGAAATTGTGTTGTATACAGCTAGGCTGCGATATCCACTTTCCGCTCAACAGATCTGACGTAAGCAAACCCCTAAGTTGTTGACATGCTTGCTGGGAGGAGGCAGCAGTGGGTGCATTCTTTTTCCCCAAAACAATTTCTTTGGGACCCACATGGGAAAGTCTGGATTGAATTCTCAGCATCTCAGTGTGGGTTCTGGGGCCTATTTTAGGGAAAGAACAGACCTACTGTCGCCCAACAAGCATGTGGTCACATTAGACTATTTAGGGGTATATTTACAGATAAGCCAGATATGTAAAACAAATGTGCACGCAAACTTAAGTTCTAGGACAAGGCTTAAGTCCAAAAGTGGATTAACAACTAGAACTTACTGACAGAGTTTACAGGCCGTGAGTGCAACGAAGAAGAATCAGGAGTTTACAGTCCGTGAATGCAACAAAGAGGAATCCAAAGTTTACAATCGGTGAATGCGACCAAGAAGAATCCAGAGTTCACAGTCAGTCCATGCGATGAAAAAGAATCCGGAGTTTACAGTCGATGAATGTGATGAAGAAAATTCCAGAGTTTACAGTCACTGAATGTGATGAAAAAGCAGAGTTTACAAAAGGTGAATGTGATGAAAAAGAATCCAGAGTTTACAGTCGGTGAATGTGATGAAGAAGAATCCAGAATCTACAGTCAGTGAAGGCAACGAAGAAGAATCTAAAGCAGCAGCAAGCAGCATACATTTTCCTATCTATTTTCCTGAGGTGAACTAGCCTAAAGAAAAATAGTACCAGACAATTTCCAATTTCCAGAATGTTCAAGGAACTGTCTGGGAAGAAAGGCAATGAAGGGAACTGACCATCCCACATCATATGTCACAGACCGTGACTATTCCCTGGGTGAGCCAAGGGCCAGAGCATCAAGTCTTAGATCTGCCTTTGTGGAAGCCTCCACAGATGGCGGGGAAATGCCTACAATCTGCCCTTAAGGCTGACCAGTCAACAACAGTAGCCCTGGATGGTTTCGCTAGGGGCAACAACTGTAGATAAAGGGGAAAAACAGGACACTACACACACAATGCTATGCCATGTGCCACGAAACCAAGCGCGAAGGCTAATATAGGTCTAACCATATATTCCCAATACACCTATAGGGACCTTTTGTATGGTGAAAAATAACTCAGTAAACTCCGGTTCTTAACAACATGGCATTCTGCTGAGAAGTCATCGACCCGGCTGCTTCGAAATACCAGCTAAGTGATTTTGTGTATTTGTGTGGTATTGTTTGGTTTGTGTATGTTGCTCATAAAGACTCCTTAGCTGCAATGTTCACCTTTTGTTTGTATTTGTTATATTGTGAAGCTTGCTAATATACTTTTTGTTCGGTTTTATATCTTTTCTTGATAACAACTAATAGGGCACAGCAGTTCACCTTTCTTTTGTCCAGTTCTTCCTGTGCCCACAGCAGCAACTTGAGGAGATTGGCCAGCCTTGGTGTCGAGTCATTTTCTAATATGGCTGCATTGACTTCACTGGCCACCTAAACAGTGGAGACAGAGAAAGTGATATTTAATTTTCATTATCCGTACATCTATCAAATCTTTCCTTTTTCTAGCATTCTTTCTCTTTACATAGCTAGCTGGCTAAAATGTATCTATCCACCCACCTATCAATCTAACAGTCCATCCATCTGTTGTTCTCTCTTTCCTTCTTTCTATTTATCAGTTCCTTTCATCCATCCATCTATCTGTCTATGCACAGATTGTATGCCCCCCTTAAAATATCAAGGGAGCTGCTGTGGTCTAGCAGCCAGATGCTCATCTGCGGTTCAGAAGCACATGGGTTCGGGTCCTGGCATGGACCAGACTCTTTTTTTTTCAAAAATGACCCTGACTCCCAGGTCGACCCAGCCTTAAGTGGGTACCAGGTACAATCCTGGGAAGTAAAGGTGGCCGGCGTGATGCTGACCACATCAACCACCAAGTGCCGTTTGGTCTATAAAATATAGGTCTAGCCCTATATACCCAATACACCTAGAGGCGTGGAAAAAGGTACTTAGAAGAAACAAATATTTTAAACATGGTGTAATTTCAAAAACAGTCTATATTTCCCCTAGATTTATTACTTCTTCTTCCTCACATTCACCAGCTGTAAACTCCACAGAAAAGTTCTGGTTGTTCTTCAACTTCTAGACTTTAGTACTGTAAAAGAACCTGAGTTTTGCATCCACATCCCTTTTACAGATCTGGCTTACTTGTATGCAGACTGTTGATTCCCCACCTCTCAGACAGATGCATTCTAGCTCTGAAGGTAACAGCTTTAATCAGTCGACTATAATGATATGCTTGTTAGGGGACAGTGGGTCTAGTCACCCCACCCCCCCCCCCTTCTTTCCCCCCATCAGGGCCCCAGAATCCTCAATAGGAAGATATATTACAATGACTATGGTTTACTGTGGTTAGAAATGAAGGTCTAATTCAAACACATTCCAGTGCTTGTAATTAATATTTAGTTGCTGCTGCTGTTTATTATTACCTACCTACCTACCTATTATTTATATCTGTCTGTCTAACTGTCCATCCATCCATTTCTGTTCACAAGATTGGTGTCAGAGTATTCAAATACACAGCATTAAAAGTTGTGTAGAGAAAGAAGTCTGTGCTCTATTTACTTGCTGTACAGTTGCTTTGTACTCTATGGCCATGTTTCTCCAATGTTCCCTTGATGTAATCCAATTCAATTAAATTTCTTCCGCCTTCCCTTGCTATAAACCCCCTAAATTGGTGACTGTATATTTCATTTGGCAATATATGTGTATCTTCTTATCAGATGATCAAACTATTCTATTATTTTTCCATATATTTCAGCCCTGTGCTGTCTCCAAACACTGTTCTGAACTGCTTTTATTGTCTTATTGTAACACTAGCCACTTTTCTCAGCCATCTCATTTTCTAAGTGCCATATCACATCTTTTCACCACCTGATTTCACATCTGCTATATCTGATTCCTCATCCTGGATTTAGGTTGCAACCTATTCCTGACATTAAAACCACTTCAATAAAAACACTGTATCTCAATTTGCTTCTTTTCCAAAGTGAGAATGGTGGCAGCAGTGATGGTGCTGCTACACAGAAGATACATCTGCAATATACTTCACTTAATATGCACACTCCCAAAAGCATTAAAGTTAAACTCGAGAGGACTGACTTCATTGTACAGGGTTTTATCCCATATGGCTTGGTCTCTCTCTGCTCTGTAGAATGGCTAGCCACTTACTGAGAGCACCACATAAAGCATGTACTCCATAGCACCGGTGACGATCCCATGGATCTCCGTTTAAAAAAACAAACACTCGTGAACAGAGCGGTGCAGCTGTGAAATGAACTAACAATCTTCAGAGTGCAAGGCAAACGGCTTGACCACTTCACCAACAAGACCCCCAGCACCACAAGAACAATAATGATGGTAATGCCATTACATACAAAATACAACTGTGATATCAGGATCACAAAGTAGGTCCTTTATAAAGTGTCACTGTCCATCACAACCCTTCTGAAAGAAACTCAAGTCTCTCACCAGCTCTCCCACCTTCATGCACTTCATACCCCAAGTTGTCCTCTACATCCTGTGCCCATCTTCATGCTGGTTGGCCCCAGCCCTACCATGCCCTCGGCTACTGTTATTTCCAAACCACCAAGGCGCTTGATGAGGCCAAAATGTTTCTGTTTCTGAGGCAAGATGTTTGTGAGCCAATCTTCCTTGATGTTAAAATCTTTTAGGATGTCAGTATTTCTTTTCTTCTTGGTCCATGGTTTTCTAAGAATCTTTCCATAACATTTCAGCTCAAAAGCCCCTATTTTCTTCCTTAATGATTGTGGGATAGTCCCTGACTCACGAACATCATTGTGTTGCTACAGGAAATATGCATCTCTCAGTATTTGACTTTGGTTTCCTTGCTGGTACTTAGCCACAGACTTTTACTGTTGTTTCATTTTTGTATTGCTATGGCCATCATCCTTTTTAACTTCGACTGAAAGTCCCCATTGTTGTTTATTATGAAGCCTAGACATTCTAAATGTACAGTGTTTTGGGGCAGACATGATTGCATTTTTAATCTTTGTATCCTATTAAATGGAGGACTGTGTTATCTGCACAGAAAAGTTCAGGAACTGGGTTGCCGTCAAATATAACTGGATCATAACTATCACAAGACTCACTCTTTTGTACCAACACTGTGATGTTTCTCCAGTTATTCCAATGAATGCATGTTGCTTATGACTTAAACTTTCAACAAAATGTATCAAATTGCTGGAAACTCCATACTTCTCAGAATGCTCCACATTTCTTACGCTGGACACAAACAAAGGCTTTGTTGTAATCAGCAATACTTGCAGGAAAATCTATGCTGTATTCTCTATTTTTATTTTTTTTTGGACATTAACCTCATATTAAATATGTTATCTCTAGCTCATCTGCCCTATCTTTGGCTTCCAAGATTGGATTCTTGGGATAGCAATGTGGTAGTTTTCCCTTGCTTCCCACAGCTACATGGTTTTAGACTATGTCCTCATCCTCTCATCCTTTAGCAACCTTTCAACTGCCAAGGCAAGCAAAAGCCTTACTCTGTGATAACTCTTGCAAACAGCACAGTAGCTGTGTTGGCTAAACCACCATATGTTTATCATCCTCTATTATGTGATCTGCGGCACACAACAGAAAGGTGATGCAACAGCATATTTAAAATGTTCCCTAATAGCATTCATGTTAGTGTTACATATATATTGCTGTATAAACAAATATTGAATTTTTCTAATGATGGAATCATAAAAGATAACATTTCATTCTTTCATAAGTATGATAGTCATTTCACACAGACAAAAACTACAAGACAATTATTTTTATTTTCTGTTAATCCAAGGATTACTTGTGTTGTGGCCTTTTTTGTGTGATATTTGTGCCTTTGACTGGCACATCCTTGTATTTTGTTTTTTACAAATTAATGTTATCACTATCATGTGCCACCGAATAGGCATAACTGGTCACGTTTGACCATCCACAATGATCACCAGAAGAGTTTATTTACACAAAATAAAGATTTTGTTCAACTCAACAACAGCCATTTAAAAAGACTAGTAAAGCATACAAAATTCAGGATACAATCTTTATCACTACTAAAAAAAAAACTTGCCTTTTGCCTCTGAGATGGATGAAGCAGCTCACCAAAAGGTGACGCCTCTGGATTTTCAAATGCAAGGAGAGCAAGTGTCTTTTCCAGTTCAGGAAGTACATTAGGGTTTTCTTCCACTCTTTCAGAGAGTTTTGACTGAGCATAATCCAAAGCAGCTTCCAATTCCTTGTTTTTTATTAACTCTATCAAATGTTGTTGCTGTCAGAGATTGTTTAGAGAAACACAGAGATATATTTAGTTGTAGACAACAAATGAATAAATAACCTGTGCAACATTTTAAGGCAAGATTAAATTTCTTTTTCAGTTCTTTATTAATATCCTACCCCAGATGACATCACAGGACAGTCCAACATTTTAGAGGGTGGTAAGACTGGGTTTCCTGGCTTTCTGATGCTTTTTAATGACCCCAAAACATCTAAAACTTGCCCTAACCCCAACCCACCTACGTCCCACGAGAGAGTGCAGCCTAAGTTACACAACTGCATGCAGCCTACCTACCACCCCCTGAAATATTAGACTGTCCCGTGACCTGTGGATTTCGCCCATTTGGGGTAGGATAAAGCACCTCTTCTTCTTCTTAGCGTTCACCAATTGTATAATTTTGTGAACATTTCTGGTTGTTCTTACAACTCTTGACTTTGGTTTTGTCACAGAACTTTTACAGATTTGGCTTACCTGTATATAGAATATCAGTTCCTCACCTCTCAGATAGATGCACTCTGACTCCGAAAGAAACATCCCTAATTAGTTGCCATTTATAAATGGGACTCCGGAACTCACACAGGGAAGATAACATTTAAAATTAACAGTTTTGTAATTGTGTTCTCAATTGGTGACAAATCTGTCGATTATTTAAAACCATTTATTCATCGTTTTCTGGGAGTCGCCATGGTGTTGGTGGCTAGATGCTCACCTGCGGATCGGAAGATCGTGGGTTCGCATCATAACAAAGCCAGACTTTTTTCAAAAAATTACCTTGACTCCCAGGTCGACCCAGCCTTCTGACCAGGAGCAGTCCTGAGAAGTAAAGGTGGCTGACCACATCACCCACCAAGCGCCGACTGGTCTATAAAAACATAGGTCTAGAACTATATTCCCAATACACCTGAAGTGGAAAAGGGACCTTTATTTACTTTGTATTCATCATTGTCTCTGTCTGTCAACAAGTGTGTTTGAAAGTGAGTGAGAGTGTGTGAGTGAGTGATTATGTGTTAGAGCATGCATGCATGCAACATTGCCAAATATTTGTACTTTTATCAAATAAAAGTTGTGGTTTTATATTATCTATTTAGTATGTCTGGTCACATATCCCTTTCATCTTCAACAGCCATGGGCAACCCTGCATTTTCAGCTCTGGTATATTACTTCTCCTTCAATATTCATCTGTATCATTATCATCATCAGGTGCCCTGCTGAGTGATATGGATGATGTCTACAATTCTAAGGATTTCTGTGTCAGGTCCACCATTTTCAAGTATGCGAGGAAATGAGCAGGTTGATAGATTAGCCTGTTGCTGCTCCTCTGGATGGTGAGCTATTTTACAATAAAGCAGATGTGGTGAAGGCTTTCTTGGATCAAATGGACAGTGCAACAGAACAGACAGAGAATCCAACCACTAAAAGACAAATTCAACAGGGGGTGAGTAGAAGTTTTGGAGGATATTCAACACTGAGGGGGAAACACAGGTGTGACTTTTAATTAGGTTGCATCTGGTACTTTTAGCATGTCTACTTACCGCGGCCAACTGAAGAAGGGGGATGGAGCATGTGTGGGAATGTCCCAAGTGCAGTGATGTCAATTCTTGATTCATTCATTCTCATTCATGTATTTATCTATGTCAAGACAGAGGCTGACATGAATGTTTCGCTGTATTCCTTTATCTCCAGAGTTTACTGCAAGCTCTAGACTCAGGATACATGTTCATACTAGGTAAATGTTTTCTAGGTGCAAATATGCTTAATATACCTTCTTCTTCTTTTTTTTTCTCCACATTCACCTGCAGTAAACTCTAGCAGAAAGTTCTAGTTGTTCATATAATCCACTTCTGATTTTAGTCTTGTTCCGGAGCTTAAGTTTTTGCATGCACATCCATTTAAAATTTCTGGCTTATTTGTATTCATTTCACGCCTCTCAGGAAGATGTGCTCTGACTTTGAAGGAAACCCCTAATTAGTCTACTCTTAGGAAGGCAGAAGGGTCTATTCTTTCTTCCCTCTTCTCCCACCCCTCTGGGGGGCTGCGTGGTCTTGAGGCATGGCGTCCACTTCGAGTGTTGGAGGTCTTGGGTTCAAGCCCCGGTGAAGGCTAGGATTTTTTTCATGTGGACTTCTAGTAATTTCGGCTGGTCTGTGGGTAGTAAGATTAGATGCCCATGTGTATTGTTGCGCACGTAAAAAAATCCCTCAGCAGTTAGAAATCGAAAAAGAGTAGCCTAACAGCACTGCCCGGGTAAAATTTTGAGTTAAAAATCTACCTAAAGTATTTCAGGATACTCAATGTTGCTACGGAGTTCATGCACTGCGCCGAGATTCTTCGGACTCAGGCTTGGGTCAGAAGTAGAACGGAGCACTTGTGGGTTACTACCCTTGTGTCATGATGTTGATGCTCGTCTAAACCTAAAACCTAAATCTCCCTCCCCTCACAATGGGGCCCCAGGTCCCACAGGAAGAGTTTAATGCACAATGACCAGAAAATAAATAAAAGATCAGTTCTTTAGCGAGACTAAGGAGTGTAATAACCTATGCCCGACAGTGAAATGGCCAATGTAACAATACAATGGAAAAGTATAAAAAGTGGCTGGCACTTCGAGGAAAGCAACTCACAACCAGCTAAGTGCTGGACTGCCATTGCCTTGTGCACAAAAGAGCATCCACCTTTTCCATTCCTAACTGGATCTGGTTTTGATAAATGAAATGTCAATAAATAAAACTTGGGTTCTTTATTAATATCCTACCCCAGATGATATCACAGAACAGTCCAACATGTTAGAAGGTGGTAAGACTGGGTTTCCCAGCTTTCTGATGCTTGTAACGGCTCCAAAACATCTAGAACTGGCCCTAACCACAACCCAGCTATGTCCCACAAGAGAGTGCAACCTAGATCCCACGAATGCATGCAGCCTACCTACCACCCCCTGAAATATTAGACTGTCCCATGACCTGTGGATTTTCCCCGTCTGGGGTAGGATATTAATAAAGCACCATAAACTTGTAATTAATATAACAAGTACAAACCCAAACATACCTGTAATCTGAAGTATAAATATCTATCATTGTCTAGTAGCTCTGGGTACAAGGAGTTGATAATAGCAATGGCATCTGTGGCTCTTCCTTCCAGGATCGCTTGCCGGATGCGGATGCGATCATCCAGGCTATCCAGATTCACTGAAGGTTCAACACCTGACTCTGCACTAAATTTCTCAGCTGCTTCTTTAAAGCCTTCTGTTCAGATTTTGCAAAACAGGAAAGAAAATAGTTAAAATAAAAAAAAAATACAATAAACCATCCCAATTAGCAAGGATGATGACGAGGTCTTAATGGAGCAATGATGTGCAATACAAGAAGCTTAATGTCTGTTAGCCTTTCAAGCTCAAGCCTACCTCACCTTCATGTGGAAGACGCTGTTCTGAGTAATCCAGTTGAAGGCAGAAATTCAACGCGCATGGCGGAAACTGGATGTGACAACAAATCAGGCTAGGGTGAAATCTGGTTTTATTGGCCAGTCAGTGAGTTAAGTGCATGGTACAACACTGTCTGTTGCTGACTTCAAGTGGAACGCTTTTCGTGCACTGGAAGTGGTGGTATGCCTTATGCAGAAGTACATGTAAACCTGCTAGTTTGTCGAGACTGTTACTTCCATCAGCTATGAACTTCAACTTTAATGACAGACTGTTGGTGTTGTCATTTCTGGCAGATGTCTAGAGCATTTCATGCATGTGTGAGCTGTTGGATGTTTCCATGGGACAGTTATAGGCAATCTGTATGGTTTTAACTGGCACAGCAATAGACAACTATCAGATGATTCATTTGCAGTGAGGTTAGGACTGTGTCTCATAACCTAATAACCAGATCATGATTTCCCATCTCATAAGATAACCAGCTCCTCCAGAGGATTTGTTTCATTTTCGTGCCAGGACATGTGGGGGTACAAGAAAATAAGCAAGCTGATAGACTTGCAGGTAAGCCGGACAAGCCAAGGAGCAGGCTTATATACTGAATGCTCTAAGAGAGTTAAGACGTTTGGTCAGAATGCAAGAACAAGTTGAACGGGGTGTCGCCAAACAAGTACACTATGCGGGTAGCCAAAGAAGAGGAATAAACCCTAACAGGATTGGTGTTGTCAGCCGCTAAACACTGCAGGATATATTGAGGAGGTGATCTGAGCACTTATGGACTGAGTGGTTCGAAGTGCAATGAGGATAATCTGTTGAATAATTGACTAACTAACTGTAAAACATGTTCTGGTCTGTTCAGCACAAAGACATTGGCAGAGAGACCTGATCAGCTGACACCTAATTCATATAAGTTGTTTTACACCGTCTGATAAGGCATATGACTATAAATAATGTGTCTCCGTACAATTCAGTTAGATGACCCCAAACAAGGGAAATCCAGGAAACTCCAGTCCAGTCAATCCAGTCAACTATGCTAGGGGTGTTATGATATGGCTTCATTTTGTGTTCACACAAAGTTTGGAAAGGTGTACTTGTGCATGCGCGAACAACCTGGAAAGAAGCGAAGAAATTTTTTCAGAAACCGCTGCTGTGCAAAATCTGTGTGAGGAATTAGGTGGGTTTAGGCAAGAAAGGACGATGTAAGAGAGGAGGAAGTGTGTACAACCAGTGGATGTGCTAGCTAAAGGGAACAGTAAGTAACAGTAGCCTCTGTACACCTCCAGACACCTGCTATGGGAAATTGGGCATCCTATGAGTGTATGCTTTAACTCAGATTCTTCAATACTATTTAAACAGTTTAATTACTAATACCATTTCTTCATACATGAGAGATAATGTCATAATGTGGAAAAATTTTAATAAGGTCAAAAATGCTGAACACTGATTAGATGATACAAACAGTGGGATCTCGAAATGTGTTTCCAGGTAGAAAAAGCTTTCCATCTTTTATTATCTCCTCGACTTCCCTGTAAAATATCCAGGATGTCTTGAAGAGGCTATAAAATGCCTCCTCTTAATTGATGCTGCAATCAACGGCAGCATGTTGCTGATGACTTGTGTGACAACAGCCGCTGACAAAACGTTGCTGCTATGTTCCCATTTTGAGTTTATTAGTTTTACACCGCTTTTACAACTTAGCTCCAAGGGGTTCCCCCCGCCAATGTATGCCACGCAAGTGTGTTTTACTTTGACCCATTATATAAGACTTTAACCCATTACATGGGATTGGATCAATCCAGAGACCCCCACTGTTAACAAAAGTCCACCCACCTATCAACACCTCACAAGTGTTATAAATTATACTAGGATTATTTTATTTACGCAAATCATCAGGTCAAGCCTCGCCTAGTTAATTTCTGCGCTCATCCGTCACCAAATTTCCAGGAAAATATTTCACCAAAGGCAAGAGGTTAAAGTTCAGCAAATACCCATTTCTCCTGACGGCAAGGGCCGGTCAAAAACACACACACTGAGAATGATAACGTAGAGAAAAAAAAACAACACAGAATGATGAAGTCATAAACGTTGACAAGCATTCAACACATAACACCCCTAGCATAGTGGGCTGGGTTTCCTGGATTTCCCTTGTTTTGGGTCGTCTAAATGAACTGTACCTTAGTCTCTAATACACACCTGTGACGAGATAATTCATGATCAGTTTATTCATGTCAGCCCGACCGACATGCTGCGTCATCAGCTGTATCATCCAAGCATCTTTTGTCACCCGTTCATCAGCTCTGTCGGATCCACTGCTCATGTTGGCTGCTGTAATTGCACTGTGGTAGTGAGTTAGGGGGTTCCTGCATTCAGAAATGACAAAACAATGATTTGCTAATACAGACATCCCTGTGTGGGTTCCAGGACCCCATTTTTGTGGGAGGGGGAGGTAAACAGACCCGCTGCCCCTTAACTGTATAAACAACAACTAATTAAGGATATCTGAAATTGGATGTGTTGGGCCAAAAGGTGCAGAAATTGTGGCCTAGCTGTTTATTGTGGTGAGTTTACGCCAGAATCTGCTGACTCTAGTTGCGTTCCATTTTCAATAGGATTATGTTTGAACAAAGAAGACACAAACAATGGATTATAAAGGATTCACTTATGTCCTTCATTTATGTAACTATTACTGTAGTATGCACGTGACGAGATAACCTGACGAGATACAACGAAATATGCCAGGCAATAAATCGTGCAATTTATTGTTTGTCTTCTTCTTCTTCTTCGCGTTCACCAGCTGTAAACTCTGGCGGAAGGTTCTGGTTGCTCGTCCACTACTGAACTGCAGTCCTGCTCCAGAAGCTGAGTGTTGCGTGTGCATCAGTTTTACAGATCTCATTATCTTGAATACAGACTGTTGGTTCCTTGCCTCTCCGGCAGATGCACTCCGACTTCAAAGGAAGCTCCCCAATTAGTCGACTCTTACGACATGCTTTTGGGGAGGCAGTGGGTCTATTCTTGTTTTCCCTACAATGGGGCCCCAGAAACCACACGGGGGAGATTTATTGTTTGTGTCTTCTTTGTTCAAATTTACAATTGGAAAACATTGCTAGGATTACGTTTATTCAATACAATGGTGTTAGCAGCAACTGACATGATTTTCAATGTGTGATTTTTATTTCGGTCTCTGTCACTTATGTATTATTATGTGCATCATTTTACTTCATCAATTAAGTCCTGGCGAACAAGATATTTTCTTGCCAACCTGTTTGTTACTAATTACTTAGTTACTACTTCAAAGATCAAATGTATGGCACTCCTTGCAATGGTGACCTTGCCAACCTAGTGTAAGTTAACATTACCTGAAGTGCTGACCCCAGGGGGACATAATCCATTGTTTGGATAACTTCACATAATAATATTCTTTTACATTTAATATCTTTTAAGATTAGGGTTATGGCTAATCCTTACCATAACCTCAAACAATATTAAATATGAAACAATATTATTATTTCATGAACACACACATACAATAGATTGTCTTCCTTACGTCCCTGTAAACACTAATTGATTATGCACCCTAGTTTTATGCAAACGAATGTAATGAATTACAAAAACAATGTTAACCCTTTGGAGACGGCGTGCCCAAAATATCGGCCCAACATAAAGTAGCCAAATGGATGACTGGGCCGATCGGTCTGCCATATACAATAGAAGCCTTGATATTGGCTCGCAGGTTTTTGTACCAGCCAGTCAGACTGCTTCTCGCATTTCTTGCACATGTGGGCTGTTCATTGACAGCTTTCGAGAAAGTTTGATGTGTTCTGTAATTTTCAATAGATTTTTTTCTGGGGTTAATTGTGCCCAAAAATGGCGAAAAGGACTGTTGTGTCATAGCAACTGAAACAGCTGGAGGCAGGGAAATGAGTAGAACTGTGTGCCAGACGTGTCTGAAGGGCCTCCAAGGGCCTTACTTTCCAAAATACAGGTGTTTTGACTTATTCAAACTTCATGCAAAAATTCACCCACATTTTTTAGGTTAGTTATGTTGGTTCCCAAGTTTTTTTAAAAAAAATGCTAGCATAAATTATGCATATCAGAATAGTTAATTTAAATGAATGTTGAGATTTCAGCTTGATTCATAAATATTCTGTTAGTTAATACCATTTCCTATACGAATATATATAGTTTTGTATATGGTAATTAAACGCTTTATTTTTTATATTTTTTTTGTGCGTAAACTATGAGAAACCCCTCCCGAAGGCTCCGTCTTCTTGGCACCAACTCCTAAAAAAAAGGTCTCTGTCTCCAAAGGGTTACCAAACAAAACAATGCAACAAAAACTTTAAAACTAAACAACAAAACCATGTTGTATTTTAATACTGACATTTCTTTGCCCGAGCAGTACTTGTAAATTATGTTGTAAGAGTTAAAATGTCCTCCTATAACAACAAAGGCTATCGGATCGCTACCTTGAGCCTTTACTTTACTACACTTATTTCTATAGCACTACAAATATACAGAGCAATTTGCGAATCTGCAAACACTTGAACCATTAACAGGTCTGCATCTCTCTTCTGCAAATCGAGAGTGTTTCTAAATATTCATTTATTAAAATGTTAATGTTCACTTCGAATACTGGAAAAAAACTTGCTATGATTTAACAATTAAACGTGTTATAATTGGGCATGATTTGCTCCTCTGTTTGATTCTTCCGTTACGATCTTCAAGTTGTTGTTTTATGCGCCAGGTTTTTCCCACACGATTGTCATGAAATTAATAAAAGCTTATAAAAAATCGAGCCAAAAGGACCAGGGGATCTGGAATCTGACCAACCCTCAGTGTTGAATGTTGAATTAAAAATCGACATAGCACTTGGGATACTCCCATAAGCGCTTCGTTCCCATCTTCAATATCAAATGCTGTCACTTAATCTATGGGGTTTTTTGTGCCCCCCCCCCACCTTATAAATGGCGCATAGGGCATCTAGAGATAACGGTATACTCTTAACCACAGACAAAGAGAAGGGGGAGGCTTTCCTGGAGAGGTTTATTTCACAGATAGACAACAATGATGGAGATAACAGAAATAAAGTTAGAGTAGATCTGGCAGCCATCTGAAAGAACAAACATTATGAAGACATTATACAGGTGCAAGATGTGAAACATGTTTTGAAAAAGGCGAAAGATACTGCACCCGGGCCTGACAGGGGTTAAATATTCCCACATGAACGACATTAGCGATGCAAACCTGGTAAAGATGACTGCTTGTTTTAATCAGAGCATTAGGACAGCTTCAGTCCCACAAAGGGGGATGCACAGCTACCTGATTCCACTTCCTAAGCCTGGCAAGGATCATTCAACACTCGGTGGCTTTAGGATCATAACCCTACAAAACACCTTTGGTAAAGTGCTGGAGAAGAAAGTGGCGGGTAAGCTACAAAAATTTGTGGAACAGAAAATCTCCTTCCACTCCTTCTACGAGGTTTAGGAAGTTACCGGCCAGGGAAGGGCGCATGGTCAAATAAAGCCACTTTTGCCTTTGAAGGTTTCCAGAACAGACAGGAAACAGTTGCAGCGGCTCCTGATTTAGGAGATACAGTATCTCGATGAAGGCGCTTATGGAGAAGGGAGTCTGTCCTTGGTTGGTGAATTGGATAGCAGCTGTTTTGTATACTTGTCGTGTAGCTCTCCGCCTGGGTTCATGGACCTCTATAGCTCCAGGACTACTACAGGGATCTGTAATGTCACCTGTACTTTTCAACGTTTTTACGAGCAAGATTGCGGACCTGGAAACATCCAGAGTCGGCAGAATATTGACATTTGCAGATGATGTTTTCGTATATAGGAAGGGAAGTGGTCGTAATCAATTAGCTCAAAAATTACAGGTGACATTAGATCAGGTGACCGACTGGTGTACAGAGATAAGTGCTATAATTAACTCAGAAAAGGCAACCGTCCTGTGGTGTTCTTTGGACAACAAAATAAATGGCAGGGACATCAAAAGAGACAGCAGACTGCGATACCTGGGAATCACCTTTGACAGAAATGTGTCTTTCAAGGATCACATAGAGGAGGTGGTGACAAAGGCTCAAAAAGGTCTTAATGCACTAAAGATTATGGCAGCGATGGACATGGAGCAGAGAATGCTGTTCACACTTTACCAGCACTTAATCATCTCAGTAATTAATTATGGATTGGGGTTACTCACTGTCGCGAAGAGTCAGCTAGAGAAACTGGGGTGCATACAAAATGAAGCTATTCGGGTGATCCTGTGATGTACAAGAGACATCCCGATTGTGTGCGTGCGATACATCCTTGCATTGCTGACTATTGGAGATAGACTAAAGGTGCTGCAGGCTAAGTCATTCCTCAGAGTAGCTGCAGACAAAGAACACCCTCTTTTTGAAGCTTTGGCTGCAGATAAGGGTCAGAAGCTGAAAAGGGAAAAATCATGGATGGCTCAAGCAGAAGACAAAATAAGACAAGTATGCATGCTGGAAAACATTGTGCGAGGAGAGGAGTGGGTCAAAGAATCAGAGAACAAGTGTGACCTGTGTAGGGTTATGATCACATTGGGTCGGGAGTGCAGAGAGTGGCCAGCGGGTGCTACGGAGGATGAAGTAAACAGTTGATTCACGATAATTCACGCCCAGGTGATCTGATTATCTATACAGATGGTTCGGTGGTGACAGAAAAGAGAAGTGCCTGGAGGTTCGTAGCGAAAGCCAATGGAAAATCTTTAGTGCAAGACAGATAGCATACAACACCGCAACGTCTAGCATGAAAATGGAGGTGGAGGCGGTAACTGCAGCTCTCCGGTGGCTTGAGAACAAAATGCATACAAATGTAATTGTAACAGACTCTGAAAGTATGCCGAGAAAGGTGAAGACAGGGATGCTTCGAGCAGAGTAGGAAGCTTCACTGGAAAGATCACGGGTAGTGAGCATACTTTGGATCTTTTCTCCTGATGATGCCGGCGTGGTGGATAATGAACAGGCAGACAGATTGGCTGGATCTGCACCACTGGGTGGTGAACTGATGCACGACAGGGCAGATATTGTCAAGGCCCTTTGGGAACAAGTAACGGAACCAGTAGAGAAACAAGATTATTATGGCCTGGAGAGACTGAGGCACCTGAGTGTAACCAGAGGGGTTGGCCGACTCGCTACACTCAGAGGAAAGGTGAGACGGACCTATAACCAGATTGTGACCGGTACCATCAGTATTAGAACTCTGCGCTGGTTGCTGAAGATGAGGACTGAGCACGCATGGGAATGCCCCGAGTGCTGTGATATCAAATCTTGACCTAATTAACTAACTTTTATCTAAATACCGAAGGTTATGTTCGTTAAAAGTTGTACACCTGGCAATATGAAACGCGACTTCAAATGAACCATCAAGTTTACTAAACAAGTGTCTCAGACTCAGAATAAAAGCACGAAATGATGTCTTCCACTGGGAACAGTAAGTATTTTAGTTTGGGCCTCGGAACCTTATCCATTGCGGGTGGGGGCGGATGGGGTGGGTGGCAGAATAGACACACTGCCCCATAACAAACATTTCATATAAGCCGACTAAAAATGGTTGTCCCATTTAAAGGAAAATCGCATGTGGGCTATTAGTACTATTAGTAATTATACTCTCCTCCGAATAACGGGCACATAATAATTATGATAATTATTATGGAGGCCAAAAACACCCACTAACAGGGCTTCAGTCACATGTCAGTTTCGAACTACGGCCACCGCCAAGAGTATCTCCCACGCCGCTACGCGTGGCGTGGAGCGGGGCTAAGCTAGATGGCTGGGACTCCCGAGCAATTAAAATGAAGGGCGCTTCTTTGAATCGTTTCCCAAAATGGCGGCTTTAATATGATGGCGTTCAAAAAGAAGCTAAATTGGCCAATTTCTGGCCATAAAATATCTAAAAATATCCGAATGCGGGGTCAACTCTATTAAAAATATATGTGCCGGCTCCGAATAACGAAACAAATGCTCTGACAGGGTCTGGGCGATACGTTGCTTGCCGACCTGCTTCTGCGAGTGTGCCTCACCGCCGAGCGTATCCCCCGCGCCAAGAGTATCTCCCACGCCGCTACGCGTGGCGTGGAGCGGGGCTAAGCTAGATGGCTGGGACTCCCGAGCAATTAAAATGAAGGGCGCTTCTTTGAATCGTTTCCCAAAATGGCGGCTTTAATATGATGGCGTTCAAAAAGAAGCTAAATTGGCCAATTTCTGGCCATAAAATATCTAAAAATATCCGAATGCGGGGTCAACTCTATTAAAAATATATGTGCCGGCTCCGAATAACGAAACAAATGCTCTGACAGGGTCTGGGCGATACGTTGCTTGCCGACCTGCTTCTGCGAGTGTGCCTCACCGCCGAGCGTATCCCCCGCGCCGCTACGCGCGGCGCGGATGGGGGCTAAACTAGATGGCTGGGACTCACGAGTTGCAGCTACCGCATCTCCTGCAACTTCCTCCAATTACTGTACTCGTGAGTCCCAGGCACCTAGATACACTCGGCGATAAGTTTAATCGCGTTTGGCGCATGCCGACAAGTCTGACATCTACCGCTGCTAAATCCTCCAATCAGAAGAACACAGTATTGCTAATCGTTTTCATCGCCTGTAATGTCTCGAAATTGGTCAACTGTCGCTAATATCGTCTGCTAGTATCGGAGTCGCAGAAACGCTCGAAATTGTTGTCAACGGTCGGTATTTATCGTCTGCTACTAGTACCGTGTGCAATGTTAATAGTGATTGTCAAGTAATCCTAGTTTTGCCGCGATTATTTGTCCCTTGGCAGACAGTCCGTATTTTAGATATACGGGAACACCGTCGTTCGGATGTTTTTGGATATTTTATGGCCAGAATGTGGCATGCCGCCATTTTGGGGAATGGATCAAAGAAGCGCCAAATGAAGGAAGCTGTAGAAGATGCGGTAGCTGCTGCTCGTGAGTCCCAGCCATCTGGTTTAGCCCAGCTCCACGTTGCGCGTAGCGGCGTGGTAGATACTCTCGGCGGTGGCGGTAGTCGCCGAAAGTTTTGCAGTTTAAGTTGCCGGAAGTTCGCAATTGACATGTGACTGAGGCCCTGTTAGGGTGTGTTTTTGGCCCCCATAATACGTGCTCATTATTCGGAGGATAGCCCGCATGTGTTTTGCAGCTGGCCCGTGAAATCTGCATTTTTCGCCCCAGCAGATCTGATTTCAGCATGCCCTAAGTCTCCTTTTATTTAAAAAGTTGGCTATCTAACAGTCCCAAATTATTGAGGCAGAAAATATACCTTAGCAGGGCCTTAGTCACGTGTCAGTTGCGCACTTGCGGGGACTACACCGCCAACCCTGAGAGTATCCCCCATGCTGCACATGCAGCGTGTATTGGGGCTAAACTAGATGGCTAGGACTTATGAGCAAATAAAATGAAGGCAGCTGTAGAAGATGCGGTAGCTGCTGCTCGTGAGTCCTAACCATCTAGTTTAGCCCCAATCCACACCACGTGAGCGGCGCGGGGGATACTCTCGGCGGTGGTGAAAGTGCACAATTAAGTCACCAGAAGTGCGCGATTGACACATGACTGAGGCCCTGTTAGGGTATATTTTCTGCCTCGATAATTTGGGACCGTTATTCGGAAGATAGCCAAAAAGTTTTAAAGGCAGTGTCAGTCAGTGAAATGCTTTTTAACGCAAAGTATCTCCCCCCACCCCCTTTCCTTATTTTATTCAACAATGGGACTCCAATTGTATCCAATCGCTCCTACATTTGTTCTCGCTCCTACATTTGTTCTCGCTCCTACATTTGTTCTCGCTCCTACATTTGTTCTCGCTCTTACATTTGTTCTCGCTCCTACATTTGTTCTCGCTCCTACATTTGTTCTCGCTCCTACATTTGTTCTCACCTTAAAGAAAATTATAAATTATTCTTAGATCTTTATCTATGCACATTGCTTGCAGTGTTTATTGCACACTGCTTTACTCCTTGACTCAAGCAGTTATTTGTACCAAATTTTCTTCCGCAGTTTTGTTAAATATTTGTTGTACCTGCATATCCCATATAGTTATTATAGCTTATTCAAAATGTTATGTTAAGTGACTGCTGAGTAGAGAGCTATTATTTTAGCATCTTCAGAATATTAATTAATAATATTAATATTGTAAGTTCCACTTGACTTAAATTAGTATTTACTATAACAGAGAGGCAACTTAGAAACAAGGTGGCAGGACGTATACTTGAATGGCTGTATGCACTGTTGAGTGATTCCGGAAGTGTTAAAACAAACCAAGAGGAAAGAATGCAACTCTTCTCTATGATGTCATTTGCTTGATTGTGGCCATATAATTAACAAATAGTATTTGAAATACAGTGCTTTCTATGTTAGTTCCACACACCGAGCAGGCAATTGCTGAGACTGTGAGGCTTTAACAATAAAAACAAAGAATAGTCCCTATTATGTAAACAGAAAGAAGTTCATTATAAATTTGAAGTGACCCTGGTAAGACCCACGAGATATGACTTTGCCTGCAAAACTGTCAGCCTCTCTGCAATAGTAGGAAGTGCAAGTGTATATCACATACATACTACCAGGTTATCTCTTGTACATGGAGAAAAACCCGCATAGCTTCATTCTGCATGTCTTTGAGTTTTATCAGCGGACTCTTTGATATGGTTTTTTCACATTTAATATCTTTTGAGATTAGGGTTAGAGTTAGGGCTAATCCTTACCCTAACCCTAATCTCGAACAAATATTTAATGTGAAGGAATATTATTATTACCTGAACATATTCAGACAATCGATTGTCTCCCTTATGGAGAGAGATAGGGGATGTACTTATCCACTGCAGCCAAACTGCATTATGGAAATGGGTCAGTAAAAAAATAATGTTATTTTTAGAAAACCTATAAGGTTAAAAAGCTGGATGGTACGGTTTGTCATCATGAAGACTGCTAGATTGAAATAACTGGAGCATATTGAGAGAATGTCAGATGGAAGGGAGGTAAAAGCTGTATATACAAGGGAGTTGAATGGTTGTATACTATGAGGCAGACCAAGAAATTGTGGATAGATAATGTCCAGGCAGACTTTCAAACAGTTGGAGTCACCAACTGGAAATAGAAGACTTATAATAGAGATGAATAGAGGGAAGTTGTACGATATCTACAGCAGTGAACCTCAAAGGCTCAGAATGCTGAAGAAGAAGAAGAACAGAAATAGGTAGATATTTAATAATTCAGCCCCTTTAGAATATTATTATATTTAAGTAACAGCAGGTTCAATAGTTACTATTGTTTGTTCTTTTCACTTCTTTTGTGTTATGCCTTTAAACAAGGGCTGGTGGCATGTTGTGTTGAAGCTTACAGCAAGGTTGTATGTCTTCTTTTTTCACGTTCACTGGCTATATACTCCGGCAAATAATTCTGGTTGTTCATTGACCTCTGGTCTTTAGACTTGTTTCAGACCCTGAGTGTTGCATGCACATCCATTTTACAGATATGACTTATTTGTATGCAGACTGTTGTTTCCTCGCCTCTCAGGCAGAGACACTGCGACTTCGAAGGAAACACCCAATTAGTTGACTCTTATGACCTGCTTGTTGGGGAGCATTGGGTCTTTTCTTGTTTTCCCCAAAGTGGGGCCCCGAAACCCACACGGCAAACAGCTAGGCTGTAATATCTGCTCTTTGTGGCTCAACTCATCTGATTTCAGTGTTTCCATAATTAGTCCCCTTTTAATAAATGTTTTTGTTTCTATTCTCCCCCCCCCCTCCCCCCCCCCCCAAAAAAATGGGGTGTAGAAAACGCACATCCTTTCAAAATATTCTTCTTCTTCTTCTTCGCGTTCACCAGCTGTAAACTCTGGTGGAAGGTTTTGGTTGCTCGTCCACTACTGAACTGCAGTCCTGCTCCAGAACCTGAGTGTTGCATGTGCATCAGTTTTACAGATCTCTTTCTCTTAAATACCGACTGTTGGTTCCTTGCCTCTCCGGCAGATGCACTCCGACTTCAAAGGAAGCTCCCCAATTAGTCGACTCTTACGGCATGCTTTTGTGGAGGCATTGGATCTATTCTTGTTTTTCCCAAAATGGGGCCCCGGAACCCACACGGGGGGTTTCAAAATATTATTTTCAATTATAGCCACCTGGAGGAACACAGATTTAATTTTAATTTCTTCATCCTCAGCAGGAGAACAATGAATCCTGTCCAGCAGAAGATTTCCTGTGTGTATCTGACGGCTGTAACAGAAGAAACTTCCAGCAAAAGAAAATACCAACCATTCAAAGTGTCAGCCACCAGACAGCTAACAGAACAGGCTCGTAGAGATGACGTTGCAGCAGCAAAGATTACAGAAAAGCTGGATGGCACATGTTGCTTGGTGGCGGAGTTTAAAGGTACAAATACAAGGAATAATCTTTCAGTTTTCTTGTTAAGTTGACAATGCCACAGCTGTTCAGTTGGTTGCCTGCGGGCCAGATCTGGCTCCCAGATGCCTATCTTGTGGCCTGTAGATCTCCTGCTGATGGTATTGTATTAATAATCTGTCTATGAGCGGAAGTCAATAAGTCACAAATGGTTGTTCAAAAAAAAAAATCAAAGATAAAAACAACTTGAAAACCTTTTATTTTTACACCTACACTGTCCCTTTATTTTTCAGCATAATTTCCACCAACATTGATGCACTTATCGTATTATTTTATCGGTCTTTCCAAACCTTCTGTGTATAACTGCATGCTCTGTTTTGTAAACCACATTTTTATTTCACATTCAACTTTAGTGCCATTCGCGAAATGTCTCTCCGACCAAGGCCATTTTTCAGTGGACCAAAAAAGGTGGAAATTACTAGTGGCTAAGTTGGGGCTGTAAGGTGGATGTTCCAGAAGTTCTCACCCTAGAGGGTTAATTTTTTCCTTTGTTAACCTAGCTGTATGTGGTCTGGCATTGTCATGAAGGAGCAGTATTCCTCTAGTCAGCAGGCCTGAATGTTTTCTTCGAATTGCATCATGAAGCATCTACAGAACTTTACAGTATGAATCAGCTTTCACATTGTCACCTCTTTTTATTGCATCTGCTACAGAGTCAACGTTACTTGCCTGTCACCTCTAATCATCTCCTTCACTCACTGCATGGATGCGTCTGTTGCAGTCTCAACTGGACGACCAGATCGGACTCCATCAAAAATTTAAGAGCATTCTCGAGAAATTATTTTACCCAGCTCTGCACCGCTGTATGGGAAAAACATTTGTCAGCATAAACAGGAAGCATTTCCTTATGAATGTCCTTTTGCCTCACCCGCCCTCCCCCCCAAAAAAACACACAAAAAAAAAACCAGCTGTTGTTCTTTGAGAGTACACTCTGTAAGTACAGTCACCATTTTGTTTCTGTGTTGCGCATGCAACGTCTAGTTCCACCTAACGAACTGAGACATGTTGTTGTCACCTAATGACACCTTTAGAAACCATCAACAACATTTACCTGCCATCCCATAACCATTTATGACTTGCTTATTGACTTCCCCTCGTATGTTGGGGCTAGGGGCCTGTGCCCCTCGCCTGCGACGATCCTAATTTTCCAACAGTTTAGCCCCTGAGTGATCTTAGTTATTTGCCTCTTTCCTGTGTACACCTTATTTTCCATTTTATGTTTTTTAAATTGTCCTCCATGTCCATTGAATTCATTTGCTTATTCTCACAGGCCAGCCATGGTTATGGGCGCGGCATGACCGCAAGCCAAACAAATTGGGCGCAAGAAGATTTGCACAGTTCAAGAAGTCTCAGCTAAAACTGGGTGATAAGGAATTAACAGCAGCAGAATTCTCTTGGGATCCTAACAAAGATTTTAAGGTGTGCTTTATTCTCTAGTATTTAATTAACTCTTTCATCAAGAAGCTGATAATTAAGCTTTGCCATCTATTACTAATCAAAGCGAACACTATATAAGAGTGTTATTGCATTGGCCAGTCCCTGAGATACCTAGTTAACCGCATTGTTCTTTTTTAGGTTGCCCAGTGTTTTTGAGGGCTGGATATGGTTATAATTACTAAAAAAATAACATTTGGGATGGCTTTATTGTGCAAAAATGTTTTTTTTTTTTTCAAGTCATGGCGCTTTTTTAATTCCACAGTACTTATTTTGATTCCAGCTGCGAGTGAGTTGGAAGCAGCCCACCTTGCCTTAATTTCTCTAATGAAAAAAAGAGCCAACCATTGAGGGAACAATGGCAAACTACTGAGTATTAAATTGCCAAGTGAAAAAACAAACAGCTAAAAATGCTGCAGTTGGTCTGCAAATTGCTGTAAAGAATACACACCTAACTTTAACTAGGTGTAATTTATGTACATTTCTTTACAGTCGTTACCCCCAACCTATGTTTTGTTAAAAAAAGTGGTTTAGATGAAAACAGTAGTAGCTAGCGTAACTAATTTTAAATGCAGAAAAGGAAGATGTAGAAAGGTATGCATTGACTACTTGGCCAAATGACATACTTGGGGGAACAAAAAAAAAACTGGCCAAATCTTATATTTCTGTTTGAGTGGTATGACAAAACATTATGCGTTATCACATGATGATGATGTAATGAGTAACTCAGAAAGGCAATATCATATAATAAGAAGATATGTTGTCACAATTGACGTCACTGCACATTGGGCATTCCCATGCGCGCTCAATCCTCCGATGCAGAAGCCACTCCAAGGTATTTCTACTAATTGTTCCCATGAGAGGTTGGGTATAATGTCTCCTATCTCGGCCTTCAAGGCTGCATAGATGTGTTTCACCATGCTTCACTCCCATGTCATGCAATCCTGTTAATGTCTTCCATATGAAATCAACAGCTCACAGTGTCGCACCGGCAGAGAGGCAAGGGAGGCTAAGAGAGGAGTTGTTAGTAACTAAAGTTAAAACAGAGAGGGTGGACTTTATTACACCAAGTTTTATCTCACAGAGTTCAGTCTTTGTCTGCCTAAAAGCGTGAAATAAGTGTACTGTTAAAAAAAAACCCACACATTTATCCTTGGGCATGTTTATATTATTTGGCGGAAAGCCCATAAACCTAAAAGCTATCGTTGACCCAGATGCAAAAGAAGTGTCAATTGATTAGCTGAACCTTAAAGTATTCATGTGTGCAATATGAAAGAGTTTCACTCATTAACTCAAAGAGATTTTGATTGTCAAATGTATGGCTCCCAAGAAATCCCCAGGGATCTAAATAAATTGCACTCGTGAACTTAGGAACGCATCAACCTTCAGAGCATGAGGCATACGGCTAGACCACTATGCCATAGAATTGTCCATCATGGCAAGACATAATATTTACATCCCGAATGATTTGCAGTAAATAAAACAAGCCTGTCGACAGAGATGGTGATTAATGCCGCACAGCAGGTGCTTTAAAAAGAAAAAATAGTATTTGTATAATTTAAAGATAGTTATGTAAGTATTGTTTCATTTATATTTATTTATAATTCACACTGCAAGGACGTGCCAGAATTTTGGGTTCCAGCAAGTCGTCTTGAGATCAGAAATGGTGTAGTAATGCCTGACAACATTGGACATACACCAGGTTTGTTCTTTGCTTACTTAGTTGACAGTTTTTTTTTAAATCTGTCCAGGCATTCACCACAGTATTCTTACTAACTCTATGCAGTCAGTGTCAAACATGGACATTGTCTTCAGAAGAAAGAAAATAGTCACGACAGAAATTAAATGTTGACATGCTATGCTAGGTGTAACGAGGAAAATCAAATGGTTTGGCCATGTCACAAGATTGACATCAGACAGGGCACCATAGAGAGCAATGTTATACAGATATAGTGGTAACAGACCCAGAGGTTGACCACACAGACGATGGATCACAAAAATATCAGACACTGAAAAGTACTTTATATGAAACGAACAGAAGGGCCCATTCCAGAGATCTCATCCTGCCCTGACACCGCGAGGCATTCCAGGAGTAGAGAGAAGAAGAAGAAGAATAAGGCATTGATTTGTGCTATAGGTAGATATAGGAGTTGCATTTCTTGGTGATACAAATTAAGGCCAGGGATAAAGTCCCTCTCCGTAGATTATAGGTACATTAAAAAAATTAACCGATGCTTTTAGTGCTGCTTCTTCTTTGCCTCCACTGGCTGTTAACTCCGGCTGCAAATTCTGGTTGCTTGTCCACTTCTGGATTTCAGACTTGTTCCAGAACTTGAATATTATGTGCATGTTTGATTTACAGATCTAGCTTTCTTGTATGCAGACTGTTAGTTCCTCGCCACTCAGGCAGATATGCTATATGTTTGTTAGGGAAGCAGTCTGTCTCCCCCCCCCCCCCCCCCCGCAACAGGGTCCCAGAACCTGCAGGTGGAGCTTTTATTGTAATAGAGATGCAACATAGTTAATTGCTTATTCTTTACAGGACATTGCAGAACCAGCCCCAGCTGTTGTTGTTTTTCTGGGCAAATTTTACATTCAGTAGTTTGTAGTTGCTTTCTAAAAACTCAGCTCTCGGTATCACTGTCAAAACCAACGGAAGATGGCCTGCTGCAAATCACCTGCAGCTAGGACTGAGCTGACACCACAGCACATTTGCAACGCCCTAGCCACATAACTGTATAGACATTTAAATAATATGAAGTGAATAATTATAGTGTGAGAAAAATATTGCATACAAGATATTCATACTCACAATTCCAAACACACCATCAGAGATGGACACTAACCAAGACACAAGAAATCAAGTTCACAGTGTGTGAGTGAAGTCTGGGGGGGGGGAACATGAGTGTAACCAGGAGTGTCAAAGATGTAATGACATGAGAGACATAGTACAAAACAGATTCATTATCCTGGAAGGGCTAACCTGGGCAACAAATGCCTGCGGAAGCCGGCTTTATCAATTAGAAAGAACAAATATGGCAGCCAAGCTATAAACAAAACAACACAGTGACATCTTCAGATGAACGCAGAAGAAGCAAAAAGATTTGTTACAACTGTTACTTCCTACTGCTTTTTTTTTCTGTTTAACTTTTTCTTCTGCTTAGCGTAATTAGCTGTAAAGTTCTGGTTGTTTGTCCACCGGACTTAGGTTTTGCATGCGTATCAGATTTACAGATCTGGCTTATTTCTATGCAGGCTGCTGATTCCTCACCTCTCAGGTAGATGTACTCTAAATTAGACGAAAACAGCCGTAGTCACCTTTGACATGTTTGTTGAGCAGCAGTGGGTCTGTTATTCCTTCCCCCTTTTCAAAATAGGGCACCAAAACCCACACGGCGGAACTGTTTATGTTGAATAATGATTTCTGCTTTAAATGTTTGCAAAACATTATGTTCCTCAGGTTGGGTCCCAGTTGAGCTGACTGCGAGACATGACTGTTGGCATCTCTCCGCTGTTGATTTAACTTTGGGTTTGGCTCTTGTATTACGGTATGTGATTCACAGTCATTATCAAGAAGCAAGTCCTTTGTTGAGTATTGCTCTTATCTGACCCCTTAAGATTAACATTGTGACCAGTGGGGAAAATTATGTTGTAATTTCCATTATTAAAGCCATTTTTTTTCCCACATTAAAACCCCCGTAAATGCTTCTTCTTCTTCTGTCCCACCAGTAAGTTGTAAAAGGGGGGGGGAATGTAACATTCTGCGATGACCTCTGTCAAGAGCTCATTTAAGATTGATATTAATTTCTGTAAGGCTGGCTGGGGGCTGCGTGGTCTCGAGGCATGGGACCGCCTTGAGTGCTGGGGGTTCCGGGTTCAATCCCCGGTAAGGGCCAGGATTTTTTCGTGTGGACTTGGACTTCTAGTAATTCCCCCTGGTCTCTGGATAGTGAGATCAAGACGCCTGTGTGCATTGTTGCACGTAAATAATCCCTTGGCAGTTGGAAATCGAAAAAAGTAGCTTAATGGTGCTGCCCGGGCAACATTTGGAGTTAAAAATCTGCCCAAAGTATTTCTCTTATGAAAACTGATGACAGAGAGAATGATGAAGAATATATCTATACAGCTGTATGATAGTTCGTCCATTTGAACTTTTGGCTTTTACCTGGACCTGAGTCTTGCGTGTACATCCGGACATCAGTTTTACTGGCTGTACTAAATACTAGGATGTGTTCAGGTCAAGATTTAGCACATTATGTATGAAATAAGTAGGATCAGATCTAATTTGGTAATGTTTTCTCTGTTTTTTGTATGTATTTCATAGTCAGCATATGCCAGTCCAGAAGGAAAGCTCTGTGAGTAACATTATTTGTGAATATCTTCAGGGCAGCAGAGACAGGAAATGATGATCTGATTATAGAATCACAGCCGCTGTCATTTCTCTGTGGCCAGACCTGTGAGCTTATAGGCACCAATGTCAATGGGAATCCATATCGTGAGTTTCTCTTTCAAGATTTATTTCATAAGACCTAACATATACAGCACAGACCTGATAAGAAGAACCTACCTTGAATCCAAACAATGGTACTTCTTATCAGAAATTCCTCTTATCTGATTAAGAAATAGAGCAAGAAGAATTGCCTGGATAAACAAGTTGTTTACTTACTATACTAGGTGTAACGAGGAAAGATCCACTTAGAAACGATGCTGTCAGGAGGAGAGTCTGCAATACTGAACTTTATATGTAGACAGCAAATCAAATGTTTTGGCCATGTAACAAGATTGGCATCCGACAAGGCACCACGGAGAGCAGTGTTATACAGATACAACGGTAACAGAACCAAAGGTCTACCACGCAGACGAGGGACCGCAGAAATATCATAGAGACACTGAAAATTACTTTATATGAAGTGAACAGAAAGGCCTGTTCCAGAGATTTCTTTCTGAGAGGAGTGGGTCAAATGTCCGAGTAAGTTTCAGACTTGTGTAGGGTTCTTATCACTTTAGGTCGTGATTGCAGGGACTGGCCTGCATAATCAGAAGTTCAACAAATAATTCATGACAATTCCTGTCCAGGTGATGTGCAGATGAAGTGCAAGGGGGTTCATAGCAAAAGCAAATGGACGTCGCTTAGTGCAACAAAGTCTGGCAAATTATATCACGTCTAGTTTGAGAATGGAGTTGGAGGCAGTCACTGCTACCTTGAGAATCGGCTGTACACACATGTCATGTTTGTAACTGACTCACATAGCATGTGGAGAAAGGCATGCTATGTGCAGAATGGCAAGCATCACTTAAAAGGTCATGGGTAGTTAACATCCTTTAGATATTATCTCCAGGTCATGTTGGGAAATGAGCAGGCAGATAAGACTGGCCAGTTCTGCACGACTTAGGGGTATGACAAGCTAGATTTTGTGAGGACCCTTTCGGAGCGAGTGAACAGCGAGGAGAGGAGGCACAAATAGGTCATTATGGTCTGAGGAGAATGGCGTTGTAAGGAGTTACCAGGGGATCTGGTAGACGCTCAGCACTCAAGGGCGAGACGGATATACAATCAGACAGTTACTGGTACTATCAGATTTGGAACTTGCTGCTGAAAATATGGATGGAGCATTTATGAGGGTGTCCCGAAAACTGACGTCGATTCTCAATTCAACATTTTGTTCTTGCAATGCTAAAAAATTCAATATTTTTAAGTGTTTATTTTAATGTTTTATGCTTTTGCTGCTATTTTGAGATTATCCAGATATTGCCGCAGCTCTTCCTCTGTAGTTGCAATGAGGGCTTGTTCATCTGCAAACAGGAGCTCACTGCACTTACTGTCCTCATTATCTCTCTCACGTATGCACACGTATATATATATATATAAAATCATCATCTTTGCAGAACATTGCTGTCATCAGTCTGCCTGAAAGAAACTTGGTTTCTTGCCAGCTCTACAGCCTCATGCTTATATCCTGTGCCCATCTTCGTGTCGGTTGGCCTCTGCCCCTCCTTCCTAGTACCATGCCTTCTGCTATAATTTTTTCCAATCCGTTGTGGTGCTTGATATGACCAAAATATTTCAGCTTCTGAGACAGGATGCTGTTTATTAGCCAATCTTCTTCTTTCTAGATGTCAGTATTTCTCCTCTTCTTTGTCCAAGATATTCTGAGAATCTTTCTATAGAATTTCAGCTCAAAAGCCCCTATTCTCTTTCTTAAGGACTGGGAGATTCGCATCAGTATGTTGCTACAGGGAAGATGCGTTTATATATATATATATATATATATATATATATATATATATATATATATATATATATATATATATATATATATATATATATATATATATATATATATATATATATATATATATATATATATATATATATTTATATATAATAAATGGTTGGCAGGGATGTTTTATCTAACCATTATATATATATATATACATATATATATATATTTATATATATATATAATAAAATGGTTGGATAAAACATCCCTGCGGACTCCTAATTGTAAATATAACTTTTCTTTCTGTACCTTATACTTTCTATTACAGGTATAAATACCTGTTATTATACATGATATACTTCTTTTACAGGCATTTATGCATCATATACTTTCTGTTACAGATATTGCCACACACTATTTTTTTTTTTGCACAGAAAAGTGCATTCTGTTTCTGTTACAGATATTATTGCCACCTTTTTTTCCCAACTGATGCCATGTTTGTCTGTTACAGATATTGTTGCCACCTTTTTTCCCCAACTGATGCCATGTTTGTCTGTTACAGATATTATTGCCACCTTTTTTCCCTAACTGATGCCATGTTTGTCTGTTACAGATATTATTGCCACCTTTTTTCCCCAACTGATGCCATGTTTGTCTGTTACAGATATTGGTAGCAAGAAGTGTCCCATCCATGTTCTTGTGCCTCATGGTAGCCTGGCCCTGTCCTGTCCCACCCCTGTCGATTATGATGCCCTGTACAACTGGTTTAATTGTCCATCCGGGCAAGGCCAAATTGAAGGGGTTGTCTGGCATTGTATGAATGGAGAACTGCACAAGGTAACTATTTATTTATAAGAGAGTACAGGAATATAAGGTTAGTTGCGTATCCTTTACAGGACGTTGCAGAACCAGCAACCTCTGGCTGTTGTGTGGTTTTTCTAGGCACATTTACGTCCAGTAGTTTGCCATAGCTTTCTGGACGGTCGGTCCCCTGATACCACTGTCAAAACCAACGCAAGGCGCATGGCCCGCAGCTTGGATCGAACCCGGCATTACGAAGCGTTCGCATCAACTTAGCCACAGAGCTGACGTACAGGAATATTGTTATTAAAATATCAAATTTAATTATGCAAAAAGAATTTTAGTTTAACCCTTTCATTCTAGGAAGCCGAAAACACACTTCCAGTTGGGTCCAGTTCTCTGTAAAAGTCACTATTCAAACTTGTCTGTAGTAACTGTTTTTAAGATGCAAAGTTAATGCTACTGGCTCTTTTTGCGTCTGTGCAAACATTAAAGTCAGGATATGAATATCCTCATGTAGCAGGGCCTTTAAACATTGCTGTCATCACGGTCTGCCTGAAAGAAACTTGGTCTCTCGCCAGCTCTCCCACCTCATGTACTTTTAAACTCGAGGAGTCACTTATATTCTGTGCCCATCATCAAGGTCGGCCCTTGCTGATTTTTTTCCAATCTGTTATGGCGCTTGATGTGATCAAAATATTTAACCTTCTGAGACAGGATGCTGTTTATTAACCAGTCATCCTTGATGTACATATCTTTCAAGATGTCAGTTTTCCTCCTGTTACCGCATTCTTCTTCTTTGTGTTCAGCTGTAAACTCTGGCGGAAAGTTCTGGTTGTTCATCCACTTTCGGACTGCAGTTCTGTTTCAAAACCTGAGTGTTGCGTTTGCATCCATTTTACATATCTGACACATTTGTATGCAGACTGCTGGTTCCTTGCCTCTCAGGCAGATGCATCCTGACTAAGAAAGAAAGCTCCAAATTAGTAGACTCGTATGATCTGCTTTTGGGTAGGCAGTGGTTTATTCTTGTTTTCCCTATAATAGGAATGTTACCTCATTGAAATAGGGATGGGGGTAGGATATAAGGATCTTCTGTGACTCTTCTATTGCACTGTAAAAGTTATTTCTTTAAGGCTGTTTTTGATCCAGTCATTCCATCTTCTTTATTACTCTGTGTTGATTATACTTCTTTCAGCCTGGCTCTGCAGAGCACTAAACAGTAATTCACATTATAAACTGTGGGAGATAACATGCTATTCTACAGTTTACAGTGTGATGTGTAGAAGATCAGAGCACTAATAGATATTTTGGTGTGATCCAAAGAAGCTTGGAGCACTGATTGATAATTGAGTGTGATCTGTAGATCACAGCTCTCTTCTTTTTTTTCGTTCGCCTGAAATAAGTTGTCTATATCAGCAATTTTGTATCTTGTATAAATTTCACTGTTGTTGTTAATTCATTCAGTGGTCCATAGAGTTTACTTTCCACCGTTGTTCTTTCTGGCCAAAAGGTTTGCCTTAATGTGTCAAATTCGGTGCAGTCCTGGAGTACATGCTCTGCTGTCTGGAGCACCTTTCCACAGGTGCACATTGCTGATATGCCTATCTTGAATTTTGTGTAAATGTGGTTACGTAATCGGTTGTGCCCTGTTCTGAGGCAGAGAATAATGACTTGTTCTGATCTGTCCAAAATAAAATATTAAATAGTCGTCTTGTGCTGGGGCTGGTGGTTTCCTGATTGATTTAATGATTCTTTTCTTTTGGTGGTATGTGACTGGTACATCCGGCTGCAATTTTGTCACACCTTCTCCTGCCAGTTGATCAGCTTTCTCATTTCTAGGCACTCAACAATGTGATGGTATCCACTGCATTACAACTCTTTGCTGAAGGCTAAGTTGTGTCAGCAGTGTTTGCAATTCTGGTAGTTTCCTAGACTGGAGTGCTTCGAGTACTGATTTTGCATCTGTCAGCATTACTACATACGGGGAGCCAAGATTGGTATTTAGCAGTTTCTTTGTTGCTATCTTGATAGCCTGAGTTTCTGCATCATAGTTATGGCAGTACTTTCCGGTTGGTACGCTGGGCTTATACCTTGCTCTCTTCTTGATATCGCTAGCGCAGTTGGCTAAACCGGACTGTGCTGTGACTGGGTGGCGAACTCCTTGTGGTCCGGGTTCACGCCTGGGGTTAGGCAGAAAAGCCACATTCCTCCCAGATTTACGGTATCTATCATGGAATCAAGGTAGAAGGGTTGCGATATCCATAGTATGGAGCCAAAGGGTTAACAACTCTTGATTTCTGAATACATTTAAAAAAATATATGTTTGTGTCACACCCAATTTCTTTTATTTGCTTTCTCCATATGTTGTAACAGGTAAGCTGCATGCTTTAACATGTTTAACTTTGATTGACTTGCTGCTTAGCTATAGACTTTCAATCTTTGCGCTGCTATGACCATCCTATTCAGTTCTGTTGAACAGTCTCCATTGCTGTTTATGGTGGAGCCTAGCTATTCAGCCTGAGACCTTTCCAGTTTCATCATTATTTGGTTTCATTTTTGGATGAACTGCAATTTGTATATGTGCATAATTTTGCTCAACTGCAAATGGCTATATGTACTAGTCTTTCTGTGTTTCTGTTTGAATAACCAAGATTACTCCATTCTAACATTAATTTGTATATTTCTGTTAGTATTAACACAAATATATTTTAACAGCTACACAGACATCACCTGAACCTACCCTGGCCAGTTCCAGAACCAAGATTATGCCAGAGAAGAGTTAAAGTTCAAGTAGAGCTAACGTCTGCAAATGTGGCCAGAGAGTCAAAGAAGGGGCACAATGTATTTTCTCTTCTATGCAACCTGAATGGCCAGGTATTTGATTCTATACAAGAACTGCACAAGACCTTTGACACAGAAAGTGAGGCAGCATCTTAGCAGGCCTATATGTTCTCTTTTGTTGTTGTCGGAGCCTTTTTTTTTCCAATTTTCCAATGGAGCATAGGCTGTCAACCAGTTCTTCACAAAGCCCATTGCTGCCATATTTCTAATTGGTTGGATTTTGCAGCTTTTAATTAATGATCGCATTTTTTATTTAAACAGATGAGTTATGTAAAATTGACATGTCACAAAAGCAGACTGATTAGCGGTGTTTCCTTCAAAGCCAGAGTGCTTAACAGGCAGGAAAACCAAGTCTGCATACAGATAAGCCAGGTGTGAAAAAGATATTTGCACACAAACCGCAAGTCCTAGAACAAAACTAAAGAAGTGGACAACAAAAAATTTAAACTGGAGTTTAGTCAGTTTTAATCATCAGAGCCTTTGAAGACTAAGCATTGAGAAAAAAACTGTGATACCCGCTCGTGTGATCTCGTCTTGTCACCTGAAGCAAAGTATTCTTCATGAACATCAAATATGACAGCTGTTTAGCCGTTTCAAGAGTTTTGGGATATTTTCCCCAGGAAATGCTGGTGTATTAGATAGACTGACTGATTCCGCACAACTTGGTGGTGAAGTGATACATGACAAGATAGATATTGTAAGGGCTATTCGGGGACAAGTGAACGGTGTGAAAGCACAGATGGGTCATCAGTCTTAAGAGAGTGGCAGTGCAAGGAGTGAGCAGAGGACGTGGTCATCAATCAGTACTCAAGGGAAAAAGGTGAGGCAGATATACAGACTGATATAGGTACCATTAAAATTGGAACTCTGTGCTTGCTGCTGAAGATGGGGCCTTCGTGGAAACGCCCTGAGCGCTGTGATGCAAATTCTTATTAAAATATTTAACATTAGAGTGTTTTGTTGTAATCATGAGCTTTTTTTTTTAAATTAATGTGCTCACTGTTGCTGTTTCACCTATCCTGACATTTTTGGGGGTTAATGATGTCATTTATATCATATAAATATTTTGGTGCAAAGTTTAACTGCTCCAACATGTTGAGAGAAGAAATACAATCTAGAAATAAAGTATAATATGCCCTTCAACATTTGCTAGTCAGAGTCTATGTCTCGCAACAATAGCAAAATATATAAAACGATAAAGCCGATCATTTTATAAGGCTCTGAAACTTGGAGCACAACTAAGAGATGAAGCCTCATTACAAATTTTTGAAAACAATTGCAACAAATTTTTAGACCCATCAAGGATGCAAACAGCCAGAAATGGAGAGTAGGAAGCAACAACAAAATTCACGATGTTTAAATCACTGGCATCATATCTAATCAACTTAAATGGCGTAGGAATATTGAGAAAATGTCAAATGACAGAGGTTAAAACCGTATATACAAGGGAGCTTGAATGGTCTTAGACCACGTGGCAGACCAAGATGATGATGGAGAGATAACGTCTAGGCAGACTTGCAAACAATTAGTGTCACCAACTGGAAAGAGAAGGCCAGCAAGAGTGATAGTGGAGGCAGGTGATATCTGCAGCAGTAAACCTCAAGGGCTAGGAACGCTGAAGAAAAAGTGACTGTTATTGACTGACAATCTCAGGTATGCAAAATGGTTAACTCTGTCCAATAAAAAATGACAAGTCTTATTAGCAACTTTTTTAATTATCTGAATTACCTCTGTAGGGCTATTTAAGAAAAAAAAAAAAGTAAATGGACCCACAACTCTCTTGCCAGATACATTATTGGTTATAAGAAACTATGACGTCATATGGTCAGTAAATATAGTGGGATAGTATCCCTAAATGTTTATTTGGTTGCATACGAAACTGCTTCTGTAAGCTAAGCTTTTTACAAACAAGCGATATTTACGGGAGAATTGAGCCCAAGTGGAAGTGGTTTTGTGGCTTCTCAGAACTAAAGGGTCAACTCGTTGGCCCTGAACCCTTTTCTTGTTATTGGCACATTCAATAAAGACTAGAAACCAGCCTGCCCGCAGTGACCTATTCCCGAAAAGCATAGTTTAATGTTATTGCTTCTGGTAGAACATGCCCAGCGTTTTTTTTTTAAAACCTTTGAGGAGTCTTGTGAACTAAATGGATTTTCAGAAACAACACTGACGTCAAAGTTTTTTTGTTGTTGTGGTGCCAGTGTTGAGGATCACTGTATGAGTCAAATGACATAAAGTCCACGGGAATGTATTGTATTTAATGTGTTACTGTTCATCTTTATTAATTAATTTGTATATTTAAAAGGTTTAAAATATGGATAAACACAAGTTTTAAAAGATCCCCCCCCCCCCCCCCTGTTTTTAAGCGTTGTGGGAAAAACACTTTTAAAATAAAAGTAACATAGCATAAAATACCAACGCCCTGTTGTGAAAAACAAAACAAAACTTTGCAGTGTTCTTTGTTACTTCTTTTTATTTAACCTTGATTGTCTTCCACTGCCTACTTCAGATTTCAATGCCTATTTTCATACCATTGTTTTTTGTTATATTTAAAAGAAATTGTGACGTAGCTCTTCATATATGATTTTTGCAAGAGTGGCTTGGGACACTAAAGTGTATGTCCGTGCACAGCATCATGTTACCAACTCATTGGCTAACTTGTGAAACTTTCAGCTTGGCAAGTAGTTTAGATCACATCTTGAAAAACAGACCTGACTCAAGATAATTTCTAGCCAATGTGCAGGTACTTGCTTACACATTTAACCCTTTAGTTTTATGTTGCTACCAAGAAATATGAGATGTTCAACGTTTTTTAATGCTCTGCCCAAAAGTTACTCCTGACAACTTAAATATTCTACCATGCCCTCAAGCTAAAAACTGAATATTTTTGCATCAGTATCAGCTACGTGCCGATGTTTTGTAGTGTGGACTGTTTTGACAAATATTTAACAAGCATTCAAGTACTTTTACGTATATTTATAAGTTTGACACCAATTTTAAGTAAAAACAGAAAGACTGCTACATAAAGACAACAGTAACAAGAGACAAAAACCACTGATGACCTTATGGTTTACTGGTCCACCAATGGGCGACTTCCATCATCTGTCAGGAAAATGATTGGGTCAACGCATCAGTACTGCAAGAGTCCTTTTCAGGACTAGCGACCTAGCGGTTATAAGTTTTTAAACCTATGACGCAAATAAAAACGTCACAATATAACCCTAAAGCTCCCTCTCGGAGGAAGCTGGTTAAAACACGGTCCATTTTTGTCATCAACAAGACGAGAGACAAAGCATATGAGAAAAACTAAAAAAGACAATTTGACTTTTTTTTTTTTTTTTAAAAAAAAAACCAATACATTTACTGTCCACTTGGAGCACTTCCTCCAAAGCTACCACGACCTCGCCCATATCCACCTCGCTGAGGAAAATTGTTAAAACATGTGTTAAGCATTTTGTTCACTATAATCTGTTAGAATGCAATTAAAAAAAAACTATATATATATATTACATAGAAACAGGCGTTGTATATAACAGCTCATAAATGACAAATAAAAATATAATGAAAGAAATTCTAGTGTGTATATATACTATTGCACCCCTTAAGTAAAATCGTTTGCATTTGTTAGAAGTGTACCAAAGAATTATATATTATCCCCGCTTTTACAAATACTAACTTGATGAGCAGATCACATATGAGCAACTGCAACCATAGTCTATCTGCACATGGTCAAGTATTTACAAGAAGGTGCCATGCAGTGGTAAGATGCCCCCACCAGGTCATCTGCAAAATTAGCCTGGCTTGCGGATCAACACAGCTTAACATGGGAATGCCCAGGGAAGTAGAGGTGACCAGCATAATCTCAACAACATCAGCCACTGTGTGCCGACTAGTATACAAAAATGTGTCTAATATCGTGCGCCACTGGGGTTAATAAAAAAAAAGGACCCATATATGTCACATTCTCTCTCAGAAACATACTTTAATCACTTTTTACTGACAAATTTATGAGTTTCCTGACATCAACAAATCTGGTCTACTCTGTTGCAATCTTTAAGTCCTAACAGAGTTATTTCTAACAAATGGCACTGTGTGCAGATGCTCACATGTCAATCTAAAGGTCTTTAAAATCCACACTAAGGCTGAAGTTGTTTTTTTTTTAAAACTTTTGAAACTCCTAGGTGGTGACTCAGCCTAAGGGTAAAAGGTAACATCCCAAAAAGTTTTCTTTGTCAAAAGACTATTCTGATGTTGACCACATTACCCAAAGTGCGTACTGGTCTATGAAAATATGAGTCACTTGCCACGGGTTAGAATAAAGCCTTCTGCTTTTCCAATACAGGCAGGGGTTACTGCACTTTCCAAGAAAGCTAGCTGTCCAACTTATTATCCCCAGGGAAAAGTGCAGCATTTTTTTTAAAGCACCAGGAACACTGAAAAGACTTGCTCAGGCTCCAGATGCATCCACTGGCCAAGCAAAACAAGTACCCAACAACAAACTGATTAAAATGCTGTATTGTAGTGATAATATAAGACGGGAGAGATGCTACACTTCAGCCATAGAAAATAAAATAGTGCATACAAGGTAAAATAAAAGAACCAAAACATGCCTAAAATATATACGCAAGTGTATTTACAAACACACACAAGCCTCTCTCTTCTTTTGTGGCTACATATTTTTATTTTAAAAATATGTCTGCACTAACAAAATACAATAAGAGCCTTCCCCAAGACCAAACAGGGTAATCTTTAAACTTAAATTAATTTCATAATACAAAGGTATTGAGTACACAGTAGCCAAGCAAATAACTTAAAAGTGCTACTTACGAATTCAAACTTCTCAGATCCAGCACCAACTTCAGACTTTTTGTCTGTACCAGCTAAAAAAAAGAACAAAAATTTATGTAAAGATTGCAATCCTAGTGCATTTATAGCATGTACAACAAGTGGACATCAAGTACTACTACATGTTTTAGACATTGTTAGAATTGCAAATACTTTCTTCCTGGCATATACCAAGGAAGTTTATTGTTGCCTGACTAGAGGATTTTATATAACCAGGTGCATTTTTTGTGTGGCTCAAAGAGTAAGTGTTTTTTTAACGAACACAAGTGGCTATACATATGATTAGGCTAGACATTTTGTTTAACATTAATAGACAAATCAGCTCTGGGTGGGTGACTGTTCAACACCACGTCTGCCATCTTTATTTCCCAGGACTTCCTGTGAAGGAAATGCGGTTATCTATAAAATATAAGTCTATTCCTATATGCTCAATACGCCTCAATTGTGCAGAAAAGGTTCCTGTAAAATGTGACTGTGCATGTCTCTGCAGCATGGCAATCAGACCACCAGGAACATCTCACATAACTCCATAGCTCTAGCAATGACACACAAGGATCTACAAAGGTAACACCCATGTATGTTAAGTAGTGCAGGAAGTCGAACTATTTCACTAAGATTTTGTTGGTGTAAAAAACATTAAATGTTTGCAACTGAAGATTTTTACTGGCACCTTTCTGACTATAGTGTTTCACTGTACAAAAAATTGGCAAGGAAATTTATAACTCCTCTCTTGACCTGCCTTGATAACTCTAAAGGAAAGGTAACACTACAATACTAAGGATTAAAAGAATAAATTATACAATAAGTTATCTAGCAACTTACGTCCTGCAGCTTTTCTGTATTCTTGTCTATCCTGACCTCCAGCACGAGGGCCACCTTCAGGTGCTGTTGGAAGACAGGTGAAATTGTATAAACTAACCACACTCATGGATTCCTGTAATACTAAAGATAATAGTTATAATGAATACTTACACTAAAGATACAAAATGGGAGCAGAAAAATAACTGCTGATGTACTTTCAGATGCTTCCCCAATATGTTGTATCAGTCAAACCATAGGGAGCTCACTTTAATTTCAAAGTCCGAGTGCATCTGTGACGCAAGGAACCAACGGTCTGCATCAAAATAAACAAGATCTGTAAAACGTATGTGCACGTGAAACTTGGGTCTTAGAACAAAGCCAAAGTCTAGCAATGGATAAGCAACCAGGTCTTTACACCAGGTTTACAGCTGGTGAACGCACACACACAGAAGCCTGCCCAATTCGAAGGGGGGGGGGGGGTAGAGGTTCCTTTTATCATGATGAAATCCACCACAGGTATTAGGAACAAGAAAACGTGATTATACTGTGGTAATATGTGCAGTGGACAGGAACCAATAGGGAAAGTTAATTAATTCAACAACAAGTCTTGAAAGAACATCCAGTGTCAGAAATTACTGGCATTAAATGTGACAGTAAACCATGGACAAATATGACAACACATCATCCCCATAAACCACTTCTGCTGTTAAGTGGGGCGGGGGGGGGGGGAAGACAGAATTTTGTGATCTGGTGCACGCTGACTGGCACTGGCTATTTTCATGCCATGGTGTATTTAAGTGTCTTTAATATTTCACATCCATTTTTTGACTTGCTCTTGTAGCTGATCTCCTGTGATGTAGTACTTGAGATAGTATTTGATGTTACACTCCAACCAGATAACCAAACCATTTGATCTGCTGTCTCTGAATAAATCTAGTAAAAGATGTTCCCAGTCTCATAATCCACATGGAATAACTTTAAAATGTGCAATAAAACCAGTGCACAAAAATAAAAGAACTAGAGATTTGTAAATCCTATGCAATGTTACCAAGATAAACATACCCTTTGGCCTTGTGGGTCTTGGGGCTTCTGGGCGAATCTGCCTCTTCAATGTAGCAGGGACAATCTCAGCTGGCAGGTGGAGGAACTCCCTCAAGTACTGAATACCTTCATTTGTCAGGTACCAGTAGTAATGACGCCATGCAAACTGTTCGCGGACATATCCCTTTGATTTGAGACTCTGAAAATGTGAACAAAACACCCTTTAGTAGTGAAAGATATCTTTCAGAGGGGATGATTCAATAAATAGAGGAAATAAGATAAATGTTTGTTATAAATAGTTGTGAGACAAAGATGATGATAATAAATATTGGACATGTCAGCAACAAAGAATTGCCAAAGAAACACTGAAATAGGAAACAATACCCAAAAGAAACCCTAAAGCATATGCTGATGAGAGAGGCCTAAGGTCCTGGACTAGATTCTATCCATATCAAAAGGACTGTAAAAAAGAACAATAAACTATGAGCCAAGTACAACTCATAAAATGGCACTACAGTTAACTGGCCATGGTAGAAACAAAGAATTGCCAAACAGGCACTGAAACAGGAAACATTGACACCCAAGACAGACCCTAATGTGGATGTTCATGAGAAAGGCCTAAGGTCCTGGACTAGATTCCATCCATATCAAAAGGACTGTGCAAAAGAGAACAATAGATCTGGTGCCATATATGACCCATAAATGACAGGAGCAGGATGATGTCACACTAAAATAACCACAGATATCACTTACGCTCGCCACCTGCAGATCTGAAGGTCTTTGGTTCAACCCCTGACCAAACAGAAATATTTTTTTTTTAAACAGTAACAGGTAAAGTGCTGGAAAGTTAAGGTGCCTGTCATGATTTTGACCACACACCCCCACTAAGTGCAGAGTGATCTATAAAATAAAGGTTTAGGCCATATTTGTCCAAAAAATAAGTAGGCTCTTCACTTACAGATGTCAATTAAAACACAAAACGAGGATCATCACAGACAGCTCACAGAATTCCCAGTCCTTTACTTACAGATATCCACTAAAACATACAACATGATGATCATTACAGAATTACCAACAAGGAACTTAATATCTAGGTGTAAGAATAAAATGGTTTAAAATGCCAAGACAAACCAGTGGCATATACGAGAGGAAGTCAATAAGTAAGTCACAAATGGTTATGGGATGGCAGGAAAATGTAGCTGGTTTCTAAAGGGTGTCATTAGGTGACAGTGACATCAAACTTTATGTCTCTGTTCATTAGCACTAGATGTTGTTGCATGTGCATCCACAACACAGAAAAAAAATGGTGACTGCACTGATGGAGTGTACACTCAAAGACACACTGCTGTGCAGGTTTTTTTTTTAGGGGGGGGGGGGGGAAGCAAAAGGCTGCCTGCAAAGGACATCATAAGGAAATGCTTCCTGTTTATGCTGACAAACTGTTCATCCCGTAAAAGGGTGCATAGCTGGGTAAAGAAAAATGTTTTCAAGGGTGCTCTACGATTGTTGAAGTCCGATCTGGTCATCCTGTTGAGAGTGCAACAGACGCGTACATGCAGCAAGTGGAGAAGATGGTTAGAGATGACAGGCGAGTAACGTTTGACCCTGTAATAGCTGCAGTAAGAAAAAAAAAATTCTTCACTCTAATCCTAGAATGCCTTGCAGTGTTATGGGAGACAAAGATCTCTGGAACAGGCCATTCTGTTAACATTTAGTACTTTTCAGTGTCTTTGATATTTCTGCAGTCCATTTGTGTGATCAACCTGTTACCATTGCCTCTGTGGTGCCCTGTTTGATGCCAATCTTGTTTCGTTACCGAAGCCACTTGATCTGTTGTATACTGATAAAGTTTAGTACTGTTTCTGTGCTGACTCTCTTGATATCATTTTTAAGTCAATCTTTCCTTGTTACATCTAGCACAGTTAAAACAAATAAACTGAACACACAAAATCAACTCACGGTTAACGCCTTCATTACATGAAGGTTTGGGACTTCAATTTCTGCATGTTTGGCTGCAAATGGATCCTTCTTGGCTACAAGGACACCCTCTTTAAAGAGGTACTCATAGATGGCAACTCTGTTCTTCTTTGGGATAAGCATCCTGATGCTCTCTATAAAAGTCAATAAAACACCATACATGATCAGTCTGAAGTGCTGGTAACGTAATAGAGTTAGCTTATAAGAAACAAATTAACGACAAACATTCTTTGCATTATTATATTCGGTGTGACTTTTTATGCAAACTTTCTTCTTCTTTGCATTGACTGGCTGTAAACTCCAGCAGAAAGTTCTGGAATTTAGTCTTTTGTTTCAGAACACCAGTGTTAAGTGCACATCTGTTTTACAGATCTGACTTATTTGTATGCAGACTGTTGATTCCTTGCCTCTTAGGCAGATGCATTCTGACTTCAGAGGAAGCCCAGTCAGTCGACTCCTACTGGTCTTACGACATGCTAGCTCGGGAGGCAGTTGGTCTATTCTTGTTTTCCCTGCAATAGGGTACCAGAACACACATAGGGAATGTAAAATTTGATTTCTGAATAATGCATCTCTGGGGAACCTGAGTGAATATTTCAGAATCGGGCTGTCTTCCGAATAACGGTCTCAAATTATCGAGGCAAAAAATATACAGAGCCTCAGTCACGTGCCAATTGCGTACTTCCAGGGACTATGCGGCCACCGCCGAGAGTACCCCGCACGCCGCTTATGCAGCGTGGATTGGGGCTAAATTAGATGGCTTGGAATCACGAGCAAATGCGGCGTGGGGGTACTCTCGGCGGTGGTGCAAGTCCAAGTCACCGGAAGTGCGCAATTGACACGTGACTGAGGCTCTGTTAGGGTATATTTTCTGCCTCGATAATTTGGAACCGTTATTCAGAAGATAGCTTAGAATCAATTTACCCATAAAAACCAGCATTGCTAGATAGAGATTAAACATGTCTTTTTAGAAGCACTTCACCCATGCTTGTATGTCAATTCTAAGTTTAGGTAGAGACAATAAATAATAATATCAAGGTTTGTGTATGGAAAAGGTACACAGAAATGTAGTTTACCCATGCTGCTCAGAGATAAGACTTTCAGAAGTGTGGTGGTAATCTTTTCTTGTATGTTCAACATTTACTTTTTGAGGGCTCTCCTGTAAACTACGACCGGTAGACAATATTTGACAGCCGGTTAGTCTCTTGGCTGCAGTGCAATTACGGACTGGAGAAGGCACGAATGAATTGACATAATTACTGTGTGTTGGCGATAGCGTGCAGTAACCTGCTGTCATCATAATCATACGGTTAGGGGTAGGGTTAGCGTTACGGTTAGTGTTGCTGCATCTCGTCTTCGCAGAAACTCAATGTCGCAACCAAAACCCTAACCGTATGATGACAGTAGGGCACTGCACGCTGTCTATTGCCAACACACAGTAATTTTGTCACTTGATTCCTTCCCTCTAATCCACTCCGAACGGCAAACGCAGTCACTAATTTGAGTCGCGCAACGAGGGTTCTGCCAGGCATGTCGACCTCACTTTGTTCGTTGATTTGTGCCTTCTCCGGTCTGTAATTGCACTGCAGCCAGGGGACAGAACTTCGACTAACCGGCCGTCTACTGGCCCTAGTTGACAGGAGAGCCACTTTTTGTCTTTTTACTATTCAAATGGTATGCTCCTTTTGTCAGAATCAATCATAATGCAAGGTGGTTTGCCACCAAACCACCTGTAGCTGTAACTGGTTATTTAAAGTTATTTTACCACATCATGCCGGCTATAAAATTTGGTAGGGAGATCTCTCAGACTGTTTACATTATAGGAGTACCAGGGCTAGTGTTAAATAACTAGAGACTACCTGTACTAGTGTACTACTAAGCCTACCCCCCTCCCCCATACTTTGGCACGATCTGGGGATTTCTTTACCAAATCTAGAAGCCAACGCCGTGATGTTGAAACATCAGAAAAGCACCATTAAAATCTAGTCAGTATTCAGTTCAGTAGGTATGGTGTAATTTAGTATAGCATACTGACTACACTGCATTATTTGTATCTAAGCCACAAGAAGTAGAAGAGTCAACAACAACAAAACATTCAATACATATAGATTAGAACAGTTTTACACAAGAATTTACAATTAATTATACACATGTGAAATGCGATTCCCTGAATCATACAACTATCACTATGGGCCTTCACTTTATAAAATAAAATGCCTTTTATTTGACATGTTTTACATTTGCCATCATGATCTTACTTTTAGTAGCTACTTCAGTCAAATTTCCAAAATGCCCTCTACACCAATAAAACCAGCACAGTCAGATAGCTGTAAACAATCTCTTTCCAATGGTACATCATTTAGGCTTGTATGTCATTTTCTGAGCTGAGATATGTAGTTTTTGTGGAGATGAGATTAAGAAACAGCCGCTAAATTGTGACCCAGAAACAAGAGTTTTTTTTACTGCGCAACCTACTGCGCATACTGTATCGGCGGGCTTTGTTTACATTAGACTGTCATTGGACAAGATGGCAGGCAATGAGACACAGCCACTGGCTGAGCCAGCGATTGCCTGAAAAATGTCACTGTACATTTACCTAGCCACCGTCCGAAAATTTTTTTTATACACAAATGTAAAATTGGACGGAGAATTCAATATACCTACAATACCAGGACGAGTAAACATTAAAGCCTAAAGCCAACCTCGAATTTACCCGCTATTTTTCAATCAAACTGATGACTAACAGAAAAACAGAAGACGTCCGGCTGTCGTAGACATGCGCTGTTAATCGGGTTCCCACCACGCTTTTTCAGCTATTTAGAGCTGGTTCCAAATTCCCACCAATCACGAAATTTCATGATAATTTTGGACCTATTAAGGGTGGCGGAAACCAGCCGAGATTTCCCGAACAAGTTCTGAACGGTTTCCGGGTAACGGAAATTGCCGAAAAGACCGCAAATTGTCGAAACTGTAGTCCCTACTTTTAGTTGTATCTGTAAATTCACAAATTGCTTCTTTTGACTAGATACGTACAAATCTCTTCGTACAAATATAACAGAAAAGTCATTTTTAAAGCTCGCATATGTTAAATTCAACTGGATTGCCTCTTTTTGATAATCTAGATTCTATAAGCTTTTTAATAATAGAATATCGTTTTAACAGAGCATTCACATTTCAAAAAACTAAAATACTGGGGAATCTGTGTATCCATTCGAAAATGCCATGAATATCCAATCTAAAAATTGACGTTTGTCAACTGTTATATTTTATTCCCAGTCCAAACCAACAAAAATCCATAATAAAATTATATATTCAACCTAATATACTTGGCTTGTAGTTGTAAAAATTAGGATGAACGAAGATTGAAAATAACTAAATATTATTACGTACCTACCAGATTTCCGACAATTTAGAAAAGGAAAACCGGAAAAAGAATTTTGTCCAAACTTAGTGATCTCCCCTTAAAGATGAAGGGAGAGAATTGTTGAAATAAAACAGCTGACAATATGCCAGAAATAATTTCAAGAACAGGGAAAACGATCTGAGAGTCACCGCTCAACTCAGACCGGTGGCTACCCAACCCAGTGTGACCTGACCAGATCCAGCAAGTACCAGTGATACCCAGAAGAGCAAGTTATCCTTCCTTCACTCTTCGGACCTCACTTTATGTCCTCTGAAGTTTTCCAGCAATCTAATCCTATACTTGTTCCACTGTCTCTGCCCCCATAGGCTACTAACAACGACGGAAATTACTACTGGGTAACGTCTTTCCTTCCCTTGTGGGATGTACAATTTTGCTTTATTTTGAAGCCCCACCCTGGCTCTTGCCAGAAGCCGCAATATAGCCCGGCCATAAATATGGTCTAATGGCTGAACGCGGTTTCCGTGACCTCTCCACGGGTGATCCTCATCCACATGGTGGCACTTTGTGTCGTTGGGTGTTTATCGCTTGTGTGATATCCTAATGGGGTAAAATCTAATACTCCTACTACTACAGAAGTAACTAATTTAAACTCCTACCGAGCTAACAAAAATTCTTAACTTAGTATATTTTCAGGAAAATGAAAACAACGGAAAATCACCAAAGGCCACCCGACGCCCTGAAGCAGGTAGCTGAGGGCACTGTCCTAAAGGTGACCAGCACTCCGGGATTCTAGTCTCTCTCACGCCATCCCTGCTTCCACGCCACGTGTGTTGAAACAATACTCAACACATCTTCTGTCTTTTTTTTTTTTTTTAGACCAGGGAACCTCAACCGACGTAAGAACAAGCGTCGGGTATACATCTCTCCCAAGCTATCTGTCACTCTCACCTTTCCGACCTCACTATCAAATCTCTTGGCACGCTCGAGCGATCAGTTCTCTTTTTTTGCAATCTACGTTAAACTCCGTCGGCTCTGTGACTAAGTCGATGCGAACGCTTCGTAATACTGGGATGCCGGGTTCGATCCCAGCTGCGGGCCATGCGCCTTGCGTTGGTTTCGACAGTGGTATCAAGAAAGCCGACCGTCCAGTAAGTAATGGCAAACTAGGGCTGTACCGAATAGTGATTTTCACTATTCGGCCGAATACGAATAGTGGGACCAACTATTCGGCCGAATACGAATACGAACAGTGTAACATCATTATCAGGTGACTTGCCGACTGGCGAGTGCGATCATGCCCCTCCACAATCTGATATCTCCTGCAGCATGTACCAGTTCGTGTGCTAACACACCTTCATGCCTTGCAACAAGACTGTCAAGAATCTTCTATCGTTGTCTTCCTCTATCCCTCCTTCCACAAATCTTTCCAGTGGTCACCAAATGTTCCATTTTCCCTCTTCTCATAACATGGCTGAAAAATAACGACTGTCTCCTTCTGATGTCTGTGATTAGTTGTCTTCGGGCTCATGCCTCTTTCAAAACCATACTTTGCTTGGCCGTTCGTTTGATGTAATTTAAACGCACCTTCATATTCTTGTTAGCAATATATTCAAATTTGAAGATACTCTGAACAAAAATGCATGATCTCTCTCTTTCTCCCTCTCTCTCTCACACGCACAGATACACACTCACACACACACACACACACACACACACAACACACACTGCGGTTGGCATTTCATGCAGTTTGTACCACGCA